GCAATGAGGTCTCCTCACAGCCTTCTCTTCTCCAGGCTGAACAAGCCCAGCTCCCTCAGCCTGTCTTCGTGGGGGATGTGCTCCAGCCCTCTGATCATCTTCGTGGCTCTTTTCTGGACCCTCTCTAACAGCTCCACATCTTTCTTGTACTGGGGGCTCCAGACCTGGATACAGTACTCCAGATGGGGCCTCACAAGTGCAGAGTAGAGAGGAACAGTTACCTTCCTGTCCCTGCTGACCACCCCTCTTCTGATGGAGCCCAGGATACCATTGGCCTTGTGAGCTGCAGCACAATGCTGGCTCATGTTCAGTTTTTCATCTGTCACGCTTTCTGAAGTGTGAAATAGACTCACAGTGTTGACTCTGAAAGTCAGAAATGTTTTCTAAACTGCCTGGACAAAGTTATTTTTTGTGCAGTTGGATTTCATGTGTTGGATTTTAAGAGTTGGTTTGTCTCACTAAAAACACTGAAGTAGAACTTTAATCATATTATAGATTATAAAACCACAGTGGAAGTTGGAATTAGGCTTCTGAAACCCACCTTGTTCCTAGGACCCACCCCAACCCTCAAAGGGTGTTTGTCACCATCCCAGTACCCATTTCACAGTACAGTGAGCAAGCAGAATTAAACTTGAATATTTTTAATGAGAACGAAAGTTAAGGCCTTGTGAATGTAGTTCTTTGTCACAAATATTTGGTTACTTTTTGTCAGTTTTATTCTTAAAGGAAGATGCGAATGAAGGTTTCTGAGGTCCTGGAATAGCTTTGTGGTGAGTGTGGAAGGGGTGTGGGCCTGGTCTGTGTCGCTGTGTGTGGCTGTGCGTCTCCTGGCAGTTCCACTGCCTTACTTAGCCCAAGTGAGTGTTGCTTTGTATTGCAGACAGCTCTGTATGATGAATTAGCATGAAAGTAGACCGTGACAGATCTCGCTGGATATCTTTCATTGATTTAACATAGTCTGAACAAAATTCTTTCTTTCTCTGCCCTGCCATTACCCCGTTCTGTCACTGAGCACATTCTCCTTGCTCTGGTCACTCCAGGCTGTAGCCTAGGAAGCACTGCATCTCTTGCACCCTGAAGCAGGCTGTGTGCACACTGCAGCCCTTTGTGCAGAAGCCTCCTTTTCTATGCAGTGTGAATTCTGCTCCTGTGGTCCAGCACTCCTCCTGGTGATTCAAGGCTCAGTTTTCAGAATTCTTTCCTTACTTTTAAGTCAAGACATTCCCTTCTGAAGCATAAAGTAGGTACTATTCTGTGTAGCTCAGAATACTACGCTAAGGAAGCATAAAGATACTTATTCTTTTTTAGCTGCTCTCATGACGGTGCTTACTTACCTGCTATTACCCATATCACAATGCAGCGGACAAATAGGTGTGACAAGAATGAATCCAAAAGTAATTTAGGAACAGAGATGTGTATTCTGCAACATTTCTTTCCTGGTCTTTGCCTCAGAGCTGGCCTGTGCTAGTCCTGCTTTCCACTTTATTTTGCAGATTTTGTAAGAGAAAAGGATATGATTAATTATCTCATTGGTCTCCGGAGAATGAAAGTTGGTACTGGGCCATTTCTGGTGTTTTCACCTTGCAGTAGATCCATATTATATCCTGATACTGTTTTTTTTTTCTTGCCCACCTTTAAAATAGGCAGAGCAGAAATGACCATCTTCCTAGGGTGCTTTTTGATACCTATTATTTCTCCTGTACCACTTCCTCAAGTGTCTTTTTTCACAGGAAACAACTTCTGCTTCTATTCACATTCTATTCAGTGTTTAGATGTTTCTTTTCCCTCTAAACTTTACTCTGTTACTTTTCTGAAGCGCAGTCAAAGCACTTGTCCCAGAAAAATAAGAGGAGGTGAAAAATAAAATATTGAGATGGGGAGCATATTTGTAGCTATGCTTGGGAAGAATCACTTTCTTTTTGTGGGGTTTTATGTTTTTTGGATTGGAGGCTCATCACTTATTTCAAACTACTTTTCAGTCTTACAGTTGTTGGCTGATGTAGCTGAATTATATTCACTATCTGTAGACTCCCGGTTCAGTCTTAGCACTGCCAACTTTTGTTTTAATTTGACAAAGGTAAGGGCAGTGAGTCCTGTGTGCATTTTTAAGAGGAAATGTTTTTCTCAGAGGGCGGTGAGGCACAGCTGCCCAGAGAAGCTGTGGGTGCCCCATCCCTGGGGGTGTTAAAGGCCAGGTGGGGATGGATGGGGCTTTGGGCAGTCTGATCCAATGGAGGTGTCCCTGACCCATGACAGAGGACTGGAACTGTCCTGCACTGGTCTTGTAAGGTCCCTTCCAACCTACACTGTTCTGCGATTCTGTGGTTCACCATTCCCTGGTATTCTTTGTCTGTACCATGTTATAAACTAGAGTTCACAGAATCACAGAATGGCCAGGGTTGGAGGGGACCTCAAGGATCATGAATCTCCAACCCCCCTGCCACATGCAGGGCCACCAGTCATCCCACCTAATGCTAGACCAGGCTGCCCAGGGCCCCATCCAATCTGGCCTTGAACACCTCCAGGGACGGGGCATCCACAACCTCTCTGGGCAGCCTGTTCCAGCACCTCACCACTCTCTCTGTAAAGAATTTCCCCCTGACATCCAACCTAAATCTCCCTTCCCTCAACTTCAAGCCATTTCCCCTTGTCCTACTGTCACCCTTTCAAAGAGTTGATTCCCCTCCTCTTTGTAGGCTCCCTTTAGGTACTGAAAGGCTGCAATGAGGTCACCCCGCAGCCGCCTTTTCTCCAGGCTGAACAAGCCCACCTCCTTCAGCCTGTCCTCATAGGGGAGGTGCTCCAGTCCCCTGATCATCTTTGTGGCCCTCCTCTGGACCCTCTCCAACAGCTCCCTGTCTTTCTTGTATTGGGGGCTCCAGACCTGGACGCAGTACTCCGGATGGGGCCTCACAAGAGCAGAGTGGAGGGGAACAATCACCTCCCTGTCCATGCTGGCCACCCCTCTTCTGATGGAGCCCAGGATACCATTTGCCTTCCGAGCTGCAAGGGCACACTGCTGGCTCATGTTAAGTTTTTCATGTATCAGGACCCCCAGGTCCTTCTCCAATTCTCTACTATATCACAGAAACACCAAGGTTGGAGAAGACCTACAAGATCATCCAGTCCAACCATCCACCAATATTTCTCACTAAACCATATCCCTCAACACAACATCCAAACGTTCCTTGAACACATCCAGAGTCGGTGACTCCACCACTTCCCTGGGCAGCCCATTCCAGTGCCTGACCACTCTTTCAGAGAAGTATATATAAAGTTGTGAATCTGCTTTTAGTGTTGCAAAGGTCTGCGTGGAATCTTCTTGCCTGGGACTGTTAACATGTCTGCTCAAGAATTGAATTTTTCTATTCATTGTATAATCTTTTCAGGTAATATATTTAGCACTTGAGTCAGCATTTGGTCAGACTTTCTGTTCCACCTAACATTGGAAGTTTTACAATAACGGTGTTAAAAAACAAACAAACAAGAACAAAAGAAAACAATCCAGTGCACTAATTCCATTACTGTTCCTAGCATTCAGTGGCTTCATCTACCACAGAAGTCTTCTGAGAATTATCAGAGCTTCTCTATATGCTTTTTTTTTAACTTTATTTTTGCTCTTTTATGGACTTGTGTGCATATTAGCAGAATCCATGCAGTTTCTGTCCATCATTTACATGCTTTTCACTGTGTTCAAATTTCATGAAAGTATTTTCCGTAAGTAGCAGAAATACTAAATTTTTCTTTCCTTTCTGTTTTTTCTGGAAGAGTTATTGGAGGGAGTTGAATTACCAACTCATTTTTCCTTTTTGGTTAGGTTGATTGCAGTGAGTCTTCCAAGTGTTTTTGTAGTCTAAGAGGAATTCAGGAAGAAAAGTGCCTTTCCAACTGGTTCAAGAGTTGAAGTCCTGTCTGAATGTTGTTGTGCAATCTGTGACAAACACGATGTGCGTTTCTAATTATCAACCAGCCTTCCACAGTTCCACAACCTAAAAGAAAGCCATAAACGTTTTGAGTGTTCAGGGATGATTTTCAAGCATCAAAGATGAAGGGGAAGCATAAGCAACCTGTTTCCCACTCCTTGTGCAGGAAATACTATCCTTTAAAATTCTGTCTTCCTGCTGCCCGTTCTGTGTGCTGCTACCCTGGCAGTGACAATAGTGATGTTTAGCAACTACCTGGTGTTAGCTGGAAGCCAGCATTTTCTTTTTGAGGCCATCTTTTTGAGGTTCCTTCTTAAATCTGTATGTCAATTCAATATAAGATTAAGTACTTTTCTCCCTTTTCAGTTTAAGGTTGCAAGTGCGTACCTTGAGTGGGATCAATGAAGCTGTACTGCTTTTATTTTCTGTATTGGAGGAAGGGATAGGAGGGTTTTTATTAATAGAGGCTTTGCTTATCTCAAATCTAGAGGATTTGCAGTAAATGCAGGGTGAGAAAGTTGGACATGATATTGTGAGTTCAGTAAACCTTCTGTCACCCACTTCATTGAGAACAGCGTATATCTGAGCAGCAGGGCCTTTGAAAGAAGGACCAGAGAAATCTGGATGAGAAACTCAGTGGGAGTTGGGTGTTAGGAGCTGATAGCTGCCCAAAGCCAGGTTCTTCCTGCTCAGTTGTCGGTGTGAGCTCAGCAGCAAAATAACAGCTGTTCTTAAGCCAGCCTGATCTGTGATGTTCCTCTGGGAATCCTGGGCAGTAACAGATGTTTGTTTCTCACATGTATTCTTGATAATGCAATCCTTATGCCCTAACATGGCAGTGTGTGTTCTAATTAGAATACAGCTATATTACCACGGCCTAGTAGCTTTTTCAGAGTTCCATATAGAGTCTTTCCAAGTTGGTTGTAAGCTGCTGTTGAGCAAAAAGTACCTACCGGGTAATCAGGCTTAAAAAAAAAAAAAAAAAAGTGAAAATTGTAAAGGGATAGAGAGCTTTTTTGAGTGTTCTGTTTATCCATATACGTCAATGAAGATGATACCTAGCCATGTCTCTGTTGCCTTAAGACTTGCAAAGATAATGTAAATGTTTTATTTCAGAGATTAAGAAGATTATCCACAAAATACAGAACAGAGAAGATCTATCCAACAGCCACTGGTGAAAAGGAAGAAAATGTGAAAAAGAACAGATACAAGGATATATTACCATGTAAGTCTGATTTGCTTGTTAATAGAGGATAAGGGAAAAGGTTTGTTACTCTTAATGTACTCTAAATTTCATTATTTAGTTAACAACAACAAACAAAATTGGAGATGCTTTGAAAGATCATTTTCTTGGAGTTTTTATTTTTAACTTGGCAGGTAAAGTGGAGATCTATGTATTTTGCTGGGGAAGTTATCACCCAAATACACAATAGTTGGGTCTCAAGCCGTATCAAGCTGAGGCTTTCATTTTAACTCAGAATAGTCCAGGACCTTGCGGGGTCCTTAACCGTATGTATTTTTTTCATTTTCACGATAGAAAATGAACGTCAGCATAAGATCTCACTGAGATTTTAAGGAAGCCTGTGTTTGTGGTTTGAAGTAGAACTGATCTTTCCTTGCTGGTTCATACTCTGAAAGCCATGTGTGAGATCAGTGTTGAGTATTTTCTGTTTGTATTTTGCTGTGGCCCAAGTAAAATGGTTTCATGTTCAAGCACATAAAATGTGACTCAGAGCAGAATTTTAAATTCTAAAACCAAGTGTATAGTTATAACAGATTTTGTTGTGACAAGATTGTGTGTTGCAAGTTCACTTTGTGCATCTCATGAGGCCACACATCTCAGCAGTTCTTGCTGTGCTTCTCAATACGAGTAACTGTCAGCAAGATTAAAGGCTGGTCTTCTGACAAGTGCCATTTTTCATATCCCAGAAGATTAACGACAAGTCTGTTCCACTTAGCTCTCTCAGAAGTGTTTGAAGGCTTATAATCCATTCGAAGCTGAAAATGTTCTTAGGCATCATTAGCTTTCAGCTTCAAGATATATTCTGGTAATAAACTCTGTGTTTCAGACTGTGGTGTACCTGTGGGTTTTGTTTCTCTAGAGATGGAGTTTTCACCCCTTTCCAGAGCTTGGAGCTATGCTTCCAGTAGTCAGCTTGGCCACAGAGCCACAGGCCCCAGACTGTTTAACAAAGTGGGCATAATGGCTGCTGCTGTAGTGAGAAGGGAGGACATGCATGGCACTGAACTCGAAAGCAGCAAAACAGTGAAATGTTATCGGGCTTTGTTTTAATTTGTGAGGAAAAATGTTAAATGGGTACAGTGAGAGAGAGGAAGCTGTTGTTACAGTACCTTTATTCTGCTTATTCCATGCAGGCTTATTGATAATTAGATAAAAATACTTGAAAAGTTCAGTAACACTGAGGCTGAATCCACGAGACATAATAGCCACTGTGGCAATACGTGGCCGTAGCTAGAATGGGGGTGAGCTTTTCTTTTAGTATGTTGAAAAAATCAAAACATGAGGCATTAGGATCCGAAAGGATATATAGATCACAACGGGGAAAATGAACAAACCTCAAAGCTGATGGTGAGGAAAATTGAAGGTAAACATTCAGTTGAAGTGAGAATATTTTTGAACGCCAAAAAGTTCTAGCAGTGAAGCAATGGCAGACCAGCTTGACAGAGAAACAAAAGAAAAGCTAGAAGATGTTTGTGAGGAAGAATGGGTATGGTACTTTAGTTTTATAAATCCAGAAGGTGGCTTACAAATGCAGCTTAATAGGAGATTAACCCTGTATATCAGAAATGATTACTGCTACCAGAGAGATCAGTACTTCAGTACTAACTTGATGCGGTCTTCAGAATAAATGCAGTATGTCCACGCATACCCTTTTACTAAGCAATCCTTAATGACACTCAAATTAACCATGGTGTTCACTGATTACTTGAAGACACCAATTTGTAATTCTGAGCAGAGCCTTTAAGCTATGTATAAAGCTTAAAAAAAAAGAAAAAGCCAAAAACAGTTAATCTCCTGAACTTGGAGCTTGCTGTAGAATTTTCTTTGGAGAATTGTGTTTTGGAGCTAAAATGGGAGAAGAGCTGAGCTGTGGCAGATGAAGGAAGGCTGGAAGTGCTGACATCTGGCAGCTGCTTTAGAATTTTGGATCTACTGTGCTGGAAAGATAGGAGCCCTCAGTAGCCTAAAGTTATAATTATTTTAATCCATCATTTAAGAATACTTTTTAGTATTACGTTTGTGACATCACTGTATATTTATGAAGATTTCATGCTTTTACACTGTACATACAATAATGTATGACAGTGTAGTTGTTGTAATGGTTTCTCTGGGTATTTATTTTAGTGTTGCCTTTGCATTCATCGAGGCTTGTCCCATTTTAGGAAGCACCACACAGTGACACAAATGTTTTCTGCTTGTTATCGGGGCTCTGGAAAGAAATTCCTTGTCTTGGGCTTTTTGGAAGAGTTTTCAGTAGAGAATTAACACTCAGCACGTACTTCTTGAGGTTACTTTTATTATCAGTGATGTTTTGCACCAACAAAACATCCCAACACCCCAAAACCATTCATATTTCCTTTTTTTGGAGGGACTTGTTCTTTGTTTTTTATGTAATTTAGACTCTTAATAGAGTTTCAGCTGCCTTATGGCTTAGGAATCAACCCTGGGAGCAGGAAGTATTAGAAACTACTTGGGCAGATGCTGTTTCTGTATATACTCCCATTCTCCAATTCAGATCTACAGGGTACTTTTTTCATTCTTCGTTTCCAGTTTATTGTGGTGCTACATTAAATTGGTTCTTATTGTGGAGATGGTTTGAATGATATTGGTGTTTTCTAGGAAACACTGGTATCAGCCAAAATGTTAGCAGAACAAATTTAGTAGTGAAGGATATTTTTAAAAGATTTCTGAGAATTTTGATCTCCAAAGATGTATTCTTACAGGAAATGTTCTCCGAGATGATTCCTTAATGACCAATGTTGAAATTTGAAACGTCAAAACCTTGTAAATGAAAGGAGTTGGCTGCTTCTGGTTGAGCAGGGGAGGGTTCTGTGCCCCAGCCAAGTGCCCAGCCCGGTGTTTGGGGAGCAGAGGTCAGGCTGTGCTGAAGCAAGAAGCCACAGTGCATGTTTTGTATTGCAATAGCTGATGGGCTACTGAGACCTGCCCACAGCTTTAACTTGGCAGTTAGCTGTGCTTTATTCTTTTAGCTTTATGGATACAGTAAGCGTTCATTTAATTCTGTCTGTCATGGTCTGTGATAATGTTGTGTGACTGCCACTTGGCTTACTTCTAATCAATTGAATTTCAAGTTGATTTCATTAACTGCCTTGTTTCTGTGATGCTGTTTTTGGGAACACTTTTTCAAAGCTTAATTTGTCCTTCTGATACTCTGTTTACAGTGTGTTCCATATTTACTACCATATATTGATTTAGACATTGTAATTCTTTACATTAAAAAATGTATTTTTCTTTTAGTTGATCACAGCCGAGTTAAACTGACCTTAAAAACTCCGCCCCAAGATTCCGACTACATCAATGCAAACTTTATTAAGGTATGATTTATTATCTTTATGGGTTTAAAATTTGGTCGAAGCTCTTACTTCAGATCGGTGCAGCTTTTGTGTTTTACCCTGAGATTAGAATTCAGAGCTGGGAGGAAAAAATGTTTTTTTTACTGCGGCTTAAACAAATTTACAAACCTGATGTCATTTATTGGGCAATATTGTAAATTATTTTGCTTTAGGTTTAAACATAATATTGAAAAATCTCATTTTAAGGTGACAGACAACCAAACTGGAACTTTATACCATAGCAAAGTTGAGACAGAAATATTTAAAAAAATTGATGCTGTTAAAACTGCTAGATATTAAGAGAAGCTGTTTTTAGAACATAAGAGAGGCATTGTGTGTGACAAACTGTGCATGCTTATATGCACTTTTGCTGTTCATGGCAGAAGTGGACTTATACCTAACACTCTGAAAACCAAGCCACTCTAAATGTCTTCAACCTTTTTAAATAAACACTTCAGAATCTTTGGTTTTTGAAATAATTGTATTCCATGAATTTTTCAAAGGGAGTGCTTTAACAGAAGAAGAAATATTCCAGTGTTGATCATGAAATATGTAATAAACTGTGCAGACTTATAGATACCTTTCAGGTCTGCAGCATACAGAATTGGTTAACTCAGTGCCTTCTGTTGCAGTCTCTGCCAGTACAGTAGCTGTTATCTTAGGCCCACTTGAAATCACTGGCAAAATTATGACTAATGTCCACTGGATTCCTATTTCATGTTCACCTTTCCTGTTGGATCAAAAACAGAATTCTAATTTTACATAATTATAAATGAAAGCTTTTTATTCAGTGTGGATAAATTTTCTTTGTAAACATTAATGATTCCTTTGTGCAATCCTAGGGAGTACATGGGCCGAAGGCGTATGTTGCTACCCAGGGACCATTAGCAAATACAGTAATAGATTTCTGGAGGATGATATGGGAATACAATGTGGCTGTAAGTACCTACTTAAAAACAGGAATTGTGTATTACTCTATTTCATGGTACATCAATTGTATTTCTTGTTTGAGCTAGCTATTAACAAGAATTTTGATGGTGATTTAGCAGAGGTTTGTCTTAGAATGCTACTTAAACTACAGAATTAACATCTGTGTCTCATTATTCAATTTAATAAAGTAATAAGATGTAATAATTTTGATTATATATGAAATCATGTCTTTTTATGAACAGGTCAGTACTTAACCCCTTCTCCTGCAAGAGACCTTACCATTTTGACCCTTCATGTGGACAGACAATTAGATGCAGAAGCAGCATTAGAAACAAAATGGGTGTCTAACTTTTAGTTATGCTAATTCTGAATAACTTGTTTTTCTGTATTTTCTGGATCTTTTCAAACAATTATTGTCAGGAGTTAAGTTTTAAGTACTATTCAAGTTGGATTCAACAAATAAATTTTTGTTTCTGAATTTTTTTTTGTTGGTTTGTTTTTTACCAGACCCTTTAAAGACAGTTGCTTACTATTGTAACAAGTGGGTTACCTTTTGGTGTTTTTTGGTAGTGTTATTCAGATTGTCATATCTGAAATTTCTTTGCCTAAGCAATCTTGTTTTGGTTTTTGACAGTTTTTTGCATAGATTTAAAAAAACAATCTATGTTGTTATAAATAGGCACAACTGTGCATTTTCTTATATTTAGCAAATGGTTCTACATTCTTACAGTAGTACAGTCTGGCTAAATGAATAAGATATTCATATAGGATTGCAGTGATTTCAAATGCTTCAAATTAGGTAGGCTTTAAATATTTTATTAGTATTTTGGCTTGTTTTGTGCAGAATAAAACTTGGACACTATTTTAGTATTAAAAGAATGTGCAGCTACAAATCAGTCCCTTCAGTGGCAGCCAGTTAAGGAGTATCTGTGTTGTCTTAGCTAGGAGCAAGCAGTAAAGTATTTGTGATCTTTCTTCTATCTAAAGCTAGCTTACGTTTTTCCTTTTCAGATAATTGTAATGGCCTGTCGAGAATTTGAAATGGGAAGGGTAAGTACACTAAATACAAAACCAAGTGAGCAGTTCCTGTGTAGGACAATATGCCATTACCTGTTAAACTGTATGTGTGTGAATTCAGAAACTATAAAAGTAATCTGCCAGGATTGAATGAGAATACACTTATTCTTATGCACGGAAGAAAGAATGAATGTGACTGCTCTTCTTTGTTCATAGTGTTGTGTTATTATCTAGGAGTTCTGTCAGGATATGCATTATGTCTTTGTATATAGAACTGAACTGATGCTCTGTTTCTGGTCGTGTTATTTTGAATTAAAGAAGTACATCTTAGCGAGATGTGTGCCAACTATCAAAACACCAATTCCTTCAGAATTTCCTCTCAATTGATACAGCTGATACAAAGACTCCACAGGCTGTATTTATTGATCTAGTCATTTGTGGGTTTTTTTGTTGTATTTGTTATACCAAAACAATGGACAGCTTACTTTCTTAAGAGACAGTTTCAATTGAAATAGAAGAATAGAAAACAAGGCATTAGTAACTGTCATCTTGTCTACTCTTTCTGTTGTTAACCATCTTTCAATATCATGTACCAACTAAACTAGGATTCTTTGCTTCAACAGAAAAAATGTGAACGTTACTGGCCGTTGTATGGGGAAGCAGCAGTAACTTTTGGACCATTTCGTGTTTCATGTGTAAGTATTAAGCTTTATAAAAGAGTTTTGTGGAATTATTGCTCCATTAGGTTATAGTAGGTACTCAACTCGTGTCAAGCCTTGTATTATGGAAGAAATACTCAATTGTTCAATATCAAATTTTACCGAAGACACAAAAGAAAATGATGGAAAGCAATATGTGTATGTAAGTCTTACAGGATTTTTGAATTCCTTGTGATTTTTTTTAAGCGGGGAACATGTGCAATGGCTTTGTTTCTTTTTGTGCCATTTCTTTAACTTTACATCATGTAGTTTTGAATGTCTGTAGCTGATCAAGAATGTAGATAATATTCAAGTAGCTGTTTCTTTCCATTATCACTTATGCTTTCTAGATGTGTAAGAGAAATGAAAGTAACACTGGATTGGTTTACTTTTTTTGAGGAACATGAAGGTAGGTATCATAAATAGAGAAAGTTTCTTCTCTGAAAGAATGGTTACATGCTGGAACAGGCTGCCCAAGAAGGTGATAGTGTCACTGTCACTAGAGGTATTCAATAACTGTTTAGATGTGGTACTAGGAGACATGGGTTAGTGGAAAGATATAAGTGGGACGTGGACGGTTGGACTGGATGATCTTGAAGGTTTTTTCTAACCTTGGTGATTCTGTGGTTCTATGATTGTTTGTGAGGTATTCAGGGTGTGAGTAAGAATGAGGTATGTAGGAGCATAACCACAGAAATAATTATAGGATTGTAAGATTGGTGTTTCCTGGGTGGGAGGTAGTATCTGGTTGCCTTTGTACACATCTGGTGGTGTATCTTTGTTTCTTCCATAAATTGAGGCCCGTTTTGTCCCACTTCTGGTTCTTGGAGCTTTGATCACGTTGTCAGGGCTTCATTTTCAGATCATGCCAAGATGCATCCAGCCTATCACATTGTGTTCAGTGATAGATGAAGTCTTTAACTAAAGAAATAAACTGTATAGGATGATCCTTTTCCTTACACTTGCTGCCAGCTTGTGGCAATGAATTTGTAGTATTTCTTTGATTGGGTATTGCCTCTGGATAATTAGTGTTTATATAATGCAGTGGACCCTGAATTTGATGAACATTTTTGGTTTGGGATTTTCATTTTTTGCTGTGATTACTTCTCACCATATCCTGCTGAAGCCATGTAGGTGATTCTGAGCTTATTGTAAGATGTCTGACATCACTCACTGCTTGTAATTTTCATGGCTGCTATATAAACGTAAGAAGATATCCGTGTACCAGTGTCTCTTCCTCTTGGCCTGAGGCTGATTTAGCCAGCGTGTCTTTGTCATTTTCTCTTATTGCTGTCCTTACAGGTCAGTAGAACAGCCTTAACGCTGTATTCTTCTTAATTGTTTGAATACTTGTTTACAGCAATTCAGTAGCAATTCAGTAATATATTTTAAAGGAAACTATTTCTGTGTCCTTGCAGTCCATCTGTCTTCTATTCTTCCACTCTTCCTCAAAGTCTTGAAAAACACCTTTCCAATGCCAGTCATCTTTTGTCATAACCTCTGCTACTTTTTCTTACATGCATCTCTCTTTAGACATGTATAACATGTGCTGAAAAAAGGGCTCCTGAAATTTCTGTTGGGTCCTTTAGATTGTGCTGATATGAGAAAAACCTGAATCATGGATTCAATTTGTACTTGAATAGAACTGTCAAGTGATCATAAATCATCTTGCTGTGTAAGATGGTGTATATGGATTCTGTTGCCACTAGGTATGCAATATCTACTTTAAACCTGCAAGGCAGTGCATTTGTTGTCTTGATGGAAAATGGTAAATACCCAGTAGGAGGAGGAAACAAAAACACATATGCAGTCTCCTAAAATTCACTGTGGAAAGCTGGAACAGTTATGATTTTTGAGGTCTCTTCAAATTGTGCTATTACTGATGTTTTAAGTAAAACAACATTGCTTAGTATAGGCAGTATAAACCTTCTTTGGAGTGTCAGCAGTGGATTTGAAAATTCTGAGAGGTTAGAAGATTTGGTTTTTTGGCCACAACCAAGATAATGACAATAACCCATTCAGATGCCCCTCTCATTGAAAATAATGGATATGGAATGGATATCAAAATACAGATTAAGAGGTTGAAGTTTAGACAAGAGAAGTGCTACAGAAGGATAACTGGAAGAGGAAAAACTAGATGAACAAAATGCATAGAGAAATTAAGCAAAAGTAGTATATTATAATGCTTGTACTTACTGACAGTTTCAGGTGCAAGTTATTCACTTGGAAAACCCCAGTTTTTATTTTAAGAAAAAGCAAAATCTTTCACAAGTATGTTGCTTACAGCAAGATATATTGCTTTTGGTTTAGAATCAATATTTTAATTGTCCATCTTTGGGAAAATAACAGATATAAAAACTGTAAATTCAAAAATGAAAACAAACCCTGAGCTTGGATTTCAGTTATGTCCTGTATGTGTTCTAGTTACATATGTTTGTCTCTTTTTTCCATTCATTACTGTTTTATCTTATTTAGGAAGCTGAGCAAGCAAGAACAGATTACTTCATTAGAACGTTATTACTTGAATTTCAAAATGTAAGTACATGAGGAATTCTGGCCTTATCTGTGACTTAATGGTTGCCTAGAAAGTTCTCTATAGTGATAAGTGAAGGGAACTGGTGAAAATCTCTTCACTTTTTTTAGGTGATGATTCTGTATGTACGTAAATTGTCAAACATAGAGGTGATGTTAAAAGCTGAAGTACATAAGAAAAGAGTAGTGAAACTACCTTTCTTTTTGGTTAGACAAAGGCATGTGGTCTTTAATATCACGCATTAACAACTGGAAAGCTGCTGCGAACCTAGAAATATTTTGTTCTTTACCCAAACTGAAAGTATGACCACAGACTGAATCAAATTGTCAAAAGAGACTGCTTCCTTTTAGCTTTTTTTTGGGCTGAGTGTAAGTACTTGTTAGAATTCATTCCATAAACTTTCATTTTTAATCAAGAGGGTTTTGCAATGCAAAGGGATATTTCTTATGCCCATTAATGTACTTGTCTTGCTAAATAAAGCAAGAACGACAATTTCATGATTTTTTTCAAGATTTCTACTTGTAGTTTTTGGGGAAAAAAAGTATTGTGCATTTAAAATGGTAATATTTGTGGAAAATGTGGTATGTTCTTGCTGAAGTTGAGCTGTGTTGTCTTTTTGCTTGGTAAAGTTCTGCAAGGGGAGACATGGGAGAAATGTGTGTAATTATATAGAAGGATAAAGTAGAAATGTATTTTTAGAAGAGAACTAAGCTGAATTTTTGAAGAGTTATCTTAATGTTCAAGAATGTCTGGTAACTCAATTCATATATAATACTTGTTGGCAGTTAAACAAGATTATAATTTGTCTCATTGTGAAAAAAATAGTTAATTTATCTTGGTTAAAATCTTTAGTCCCAAAGAGCTGCTGTAAAGCACGAAATCTGCTTTATAAACTGAATATCAGATGTGTTGATTGTAAGAAGGAACTGTAACCTATTCAGTGAAATAAGAGCACTTATTTTCGTGTAAGGGCTAAGAATGAATGAACTTAAATGCCAAATTTGAGGTGACTGTGTTTTTCCTAAAAGGAATTCAGTAAATGAAAAAATAAACATGGAACACTCCTGCAAAAATGGAAAGGCTGGCAATCTCTTTTAAAGAAGGCTTGTCATCCTTTTTGGCATAATGTATTAAGAAATAATCTTTTACAACGTAACTCACATTTATTTTGTTTAGCATTACTTTATTCCATTTCAATAACTGATATCACAGCAGTTATCAAAAGTGTTTATTAATGCAGTGCTGTTTGAGGGGTGATTTGTGTTTGCTGTGGCTTCCTAGGCGTTGGCAGCAAGATGTGTGCTTCTGAGCAATTCATTTCTGTTCATGTTTTCTGAATCTCATAGCTGACCATCCTATGAATTTTTTGATATGGCAGCAATTAACTGCAGAACAATAACTGTTTTTTGCAGCATTTACTGTTATGGTGAATTAAAAACAATACCGAAAAGATTAAAAACCCCAAAGCAGAATTGGGTATTTTTATTACCCAAACTTTGAGAACTGGTTACTTCAGAAACTGTAAGGGGTTCATTATTTGCTTGTCCATACCATACATGCAAATCATATTCAGCTGCTTGACTTCTGTATTTTTTTCAGGATTTCTTTGAGGTTTTATCCTCTTGATAGTAAAGAGCTATGCTGTATATGTAGAACACACATTGACAGAGAATTACAGACTTATCTTGAAGAATTCTAAATATAGTCTTGGACCAGGGAGGTAAATGTGCTTTTGTGGCAGAAAGATCCTTCAACACAATTCCTAGAATATTTTCTAGTTTTCTAGAATAAGGACAACTTTTGTTCCTTCTGTAGGACATTCAGTGGGATATCATTCAAAATCCTATATATGTACTATATACATGAAGTTATGTGAATATGGAAGTTATCCTAATTGCCATGAGGAAAACTAGTTTGAAAGCTGAAGATTATTATGGACTAAGTCAATGGGTTTCTTAAAAAGTTACAATAAACAGGACTATGAAGATTCCTTTTCATTATTAATTTATATATAAAAAGCTTAGATTTAGAAATTATTTTTTTCTGACTGTTCTGCCCATGTGGAAAAATGACTCATTAAACGTAATTAAGTGGAAGTTCTTGATGGACCATAAAGGGATGTATTTGTCTTCCCTGCCAATGATATTGATTTTTATATAACCAGTTGGATTTATATTTGTTTTCTTACACTGGGCATTCTTTTGCTTTTGCTAGCTACAGTGTGCTCACAGATTTAATAAAAGGATCATTTCCAAAATAGTTGTTTCAGTTGGAAGATCATATAAATTTCCATGTTCAAAAAGTCCACCAGATTGCTTCTCAGATAACTAAACAGAAGATAGTATAGGTCCTTTAACCTGTAACCTGTAATAATGATAAAAATTCCATGCTCCTGCCTCTCCAGTGTATTATTTTGTGCACGTGCTGGAATCAAGAGATGTGACAGCGTGGAGAGCTGCAGTAAAGTAGCTTTTCTGTGGGGAGTTTGGGTAATAGTGAAAGTGAGAATTTGAGCTGTTCTGTAAGGAATTCTGGTAGCTGAGTAACTAATGTGTTTTAAATCCTGCTGTTTACCTAAGGCCTACTGTCAAATGAACAACTAGGATAAAAGTATACAACTGTGTTGCAAGTGTGAGCCGTCTTGGATGTAGCCCAAATTATTTTAAGTTCCTTAATTTTTACCTGCACGCGCATTTTATTTTGCAGTCTGTCAAAGGGACATGACAGAAAATTTCCAGTTACTGGAGCATGACTGGAAAAGGGGGTGGTTTCCTCATTGCCTTTCTTTCATCCTTTCAAAGTTTAAGACTGTAGAGACTGAGAATCTCTAAGATGGTGCAGCATTATGGGTTCTGTATCCCATATGTTCATGAGGTGTTTTCTTTACTCCTTCAGCAAACTGGCTTGCAGTGTTTTCACCCATGCTCTAGTAGTACTCAAACATTTCAGAATTTCCTGTTTTTTTCTTTTTTTTTTAGCTGCTGTTAGTTGTAGGTTTTTTATAAACTAAAATGGCTTCGATTGTCTGGGCTACTAAGGAACCTCACCAAATAATTTATTTCACACAAGCTCCTGAAATAGGCATTATAATTAACAACTTTCATTCCTCCTCCCTTAGGAAACTCGTAGTGTCTATCAATTTCATTATGTTAACTGGCCTGACCATGATGTCCCATCATCTTTTGATTCTATTCTGGACATGATCAGTTTGATGAGAGAATACCAGGAACATGAAGATGTACCAATCTGCATACACTGCAGGTATCAAGTACATTTAGTTTTAAACTTTATATACGTTTTAGAAATTTAGACTTGTAGTAGGAGATGGGCTAGTGTGATTCCAAATTGCAATTACTTTAGTTTTCTAAGAAGGAATATTTCCTCATGTCAGAACTTGGCTCAGACTGATACAGTCCTCATTGTCTTAAACTCACATCACAGTAGAATTTTATTTCAGTTGAGAACATTATTCCTGTGGCTCTTTAAACATTCAGATCCTCATTACGACAAACTTTCTGAAGATCATTTGTTGTGGCTTATCCTGGCAGGTGGCTTCATACCACGCAGTTATTCACTCACTCCTCCTCTTTCAAGGGGAATAGGAAAGAGAATCAGAAACAACAAAGTAGGACACATGGGTTGAGATAAATTATTTTCTAAGAGAAAAAACAGATATGACTATATATATATCAATATATATATATATGAATGATATATATGGCAATTTATATCTTTACATATATATATATATATATAAAATACAGCAAGTGATGCACAAGTAATTGTTCTCCACCCCTGGAGTGATGCCTAGCTAGACCCCTAAGGTGCAGAAGAAGCTGAGATTAACTCCCTCCCTTCCAAACTCCTCCTCCTTAATGTCATATGGTATGGAATATCCCTTTGGCCAGTTTAAGTCAACTGTTCCAATTCTTTTCCCTCCCAGCTTGGGCCCTTTGCTGTGAATTGCCTTGGCTTAGCAGGCAACAACAAACATTAGTGTGTTATCAACATTGTTTGCTGTACTGTATGTAGGAAAATACTCAGTTTGTGTTAGTAAGCCAGGGAATTATAAATCCTTAGAGGCTTATTAATTCTGGATGTCCTCTACAACTGTTACAGAAATCTTCAGTCTTAAAGCAGCATTCAGATAACTTGCCTTCCTAAGGAATTGGGTCTAAACCCAAAATCTCTTTAGCATGGAGATTAGTTTCACTTTGTTCTGTTTTTCTTGAATGCCAGTACAACTTCACAACTATGTAATGATACATATTTATTGCACTGTAACTCGATCTGGAAAAATAGGTGTTTATGCATTAGGAAGAATAAGTGCTACAGGTCACTGTCACTTTTTTCAACTTGTTTGCTAATAGCAAGCGGAAAGTACAGGTATGCTGTTGAAGCAGAAAAATGTGGAAACTCTTTAAATGCGTTCCATTCTTCTGCTTAGCATCTGTCATTAAACTTTGATAAAATTGCTACTGTTAAAGCAGTGATAGCTAGAAATAGTGTAAGAAAAGAAGCAGTGAAAAAGTCAATATCAAAATGTTTTTCATGACTGCAGTTCTGGTCAGCCACAAAAAACTTGTATTGAAAGCTTTAATTTTGCTCTACTAAATTTGTTATTTGAAAATGTTACAGGTTTAAGTGGAACAAGCTTAAAATGATAGTTGGAGGAATTAAATGTTTTTGGTTTTATATGGGTTCTGAAAATATGAAGCTTGTAGTGCCTTTTCAGCCATTTAAAACAGTTTCTAATGTACCTGTTTATGTTCAAAGTGCAGGGTGTGGAAGAACAGGAGCCATCTGTGCCATAGATTATACATGGAATTTGCTTAAAGCTGGGGTAAGGAACCTTACAAGAAAAAATTGTGGCATTCCATCATTTCATAACAACAATTGATTGAGCTTTCAAATGTTCTGAAACTGTGAAATGTCTCTGTGTTCTAAAATTCTTACGACAGGTTGGATGTTTACCTTCATCACATTCATGCTGTGGTGTGAACTTTCCTTTGACATCAAATTTTTATTTTTTTGAGGAAAAAAAAGCATTGAACTATATTCCACATTTGGATATATTTCAGTTTTAAGTGATTTTGGATGCTGTTTCCAGCATCTCTGATTTTGCAGCTTTTGAAGTCTTGATATTTAGAACGTAAGGAGATAATGTCTTCTGGGAGTTTCTAGCTTGTGAAATGTCGTGTTAATGCTTCCATTGAATGTCTCATTTTCAGAATGCTTTTAAATGCTCTCATCTGGTCAAAATGAAATGTTTAAAAACAAGTTCTGGAGAAGAATTGCTTTATAAAAGAATTCTGAGTGGCTACAAAGTCAGAAGAATTGATTGTTTACTTGCAGAAGTTAGGCATCCAAAAGTATTGCTATTTTTACAAGCGGTTACAACAATATAATTGACTTCCTTCTATATTTCAGAAAATACCTGAAGAGTTCAACGTATTTAATTTAATACAGGAAATGAGGACGCAAAGGCATTCTGCAGTGCAGACAAAGGTATAGTTTGTTTTAAAATGCATCTTACGATAATATATCATTCATTCTATATAAAGGTCCTGTGCACTAATTTTTATCTGAAAAATTACTATAGGAGCAGTATGAACTTGTCCATCGAGCCATAGCACAACTGTTTGAAAAGCAACTGCAAAAGTATGAAAGCTGTACGGACTGGAAGATTGCAGATGGAGTGGTATGTGCCTTTCCCATATGAGTTTTCATCAGTTGTAACTGTGGTTGAGTTTTTGTTGTGAAGTCTTATTTTTAATTGTTCATTCCTGTTATGAAGCAGGTTTGCACTACAAGTGCTTTTTGCTGAGTAGGGAGTTCTCTTGTACTTAGCTTACACTTAAATTTGATTATAAGAGTTAAGTCTGATAAATAACAGAATAGTTGCCACATATACCAAATGCCAGCTGTGTTGGGAGAAGTAATAGAAAGAATTTTAGGATGGATGAAATGCAAAACTTAGTATGTACATCAATTTAGAGTGAAGTATCTTGGTGAAGTGATAGTAGTTGACAGCTGAACTGTTTGGTATCTTGCTTTGACTGGCATTACTTGCCCAAAAACTGATGACAAAATGAAAATGTCTGACTTTCTGTGAGTTACTTGTTAAATGGTGTAATGAAGAACACATTAAAATGAAATGCTCGGTTTGCATGTAAGTTTGTGTGTTTGAACTGAGCTTAATTCATCCAATTTTATTCTCCCTTCCTCCCTGTCACCACTGTAGTGCTGGACCCAATTTTAACCCAGTAGATTTGCATTTATCTTACTACTGCACTTTGCTGGAAAAAATCTTTAATTGTAGGGATTTAGCATTTTTACATGGTTCTTTGTAGGAAGTCTAAAACACTTTTAATTCCCGGAAAAAAAGCAGGCATTTTTCTGTTAGTTCTCTTAAGACTCTGTCAATTCATGCAATAGTTCTGAGGCTTGTAGTCATCACTGAAATAACCTAATGGGCTAAGTACAACGTAGGTAGGGCAGGTTGCTTTAAGTGAGTTGAGTTTGATCTTCAGCATAATTGGAGTGGGAATTTTCATTTTACTGGTGATAAATAAATGTGGTAGCTTTTGGAATATGTAGATTCATTAGGTTTGTACAGAACAGATTCCTAATGACATTACTTTGTCTTTAAAAAAAAATAAATAAAAAGGCATAAGAGTCTGCAATATCTTCTAGCTATTTGACTTTGATCTGACCTGTATCTGCACTCTTCCTAGAATCAAAAATGTTTCATATTATTGACATGTATTCCTGAACATCTGTGGTCTGGAAGAAGTGCTAAATGAGGTGACATAGTTTTTTGATGCATGTCTTAGTGCCCTGGAATGCATGTTTACTTTGAGATGAAACTAAGCCTGCTGTAGAAAGTTTTCATATCACTGTCAAATGTAGTGGAATATGTTCAGGTTCTGTCCTAGATCTTAGTCTGCCTATCAGAAGTAAACATTTATCATTTATAGCAATAGTGGGGCAAGTGAGAAGCATTAGAATGGGTATATAGGAATAAACACATTAAGTTAGTGGGTGGTTGGAAATAAGTAATAAGTGGAGAAGTTCTTGAATATTTTGGCTGTCTTCTGGTTTTGAGCATCTGTTAAACATGGACAAAAATGTTTTCTGTTACCAAGAAAGTACTTCGCTATGAAACAAAATCATTACTTTATACTTGGGAAAGTATGGATACTACAGCGAGTGTAGAATCCTGCTTATGTGAGGGGTTTTAATTGTGTTCAGTGAGAACAGTTGCAGATAAAAGAATGGCTCTACTTCTGATACAGTACTATTATAGGATGCTGGAAGGTGTTCTCTTTTGCCTGCTTGTTATATTATGAATATTATGTATTACCTGAAGTTTTGGAGTACTCCGTAAGGTTGACTTTGTAGTTTTATTGTCCAGTTGCTTTTCTTGAATTGAGTTAAGCTTTGTAAGCAGTGTTTGCCAGCAACATCACAGTAAAAAGCTTATCTGATTGGCAATGAGTAGTAGTATTCATAGAGATGTAACTTAGACACAATGCTGAACGTGTGTTCCTGTGAACTTGCCAACTCTGCCCTGCTGGAAACAATACTGTACAAAGTCAACAAAAATGCACTCAACATCTAGAGTTCAGTTAGGGTTGTATCTTAATTACAACATTTTGAGAGAAGAATTCAAAGTCTTGTAGAAAATGCATGTATGGTATAATATAATAAATTACTACATACTATTACAGCACAGTTGTACTTATTGTGAATTCTTAGAACTGTAAATGTGCTTTAGACACTCCGTATTATTTGAAACACGAGAAAGTGGAAGAGAAGGTTTCTTTAGACACAGGCAGTACTTTCAACTGTCCCAATACTAGGCAAATTCCAGGGCAAAAGTGAAGTACTGCTCAGAAGTAGGAATTTCACAACCACATAAGAAGTGAGTGAGGTACTAAATTTGATCAGAACTGTTTTTTATTCCCTCCTTGAATAGTTGGACTCTTGATGTCTCAAATTGGCTAACTGGGGGCTGAGTCTAAGACTTGATGACTCAGTTTGGAACATCAAGCTGAGTCTTACACTCAGCCTTCCTTCCACTGAAACTCTTGGTCATCCTGTTTGAAAGTTTCCATCTCTGTTTTTTTTCCATTAAATCAAAAGATTACACTTGGTTTTAATTTTGGAAGTTTGCAACAGATGTGAGCTGAATTGTGTTGATCATCTGATAAGATATCAGTTATATCAGAATATTTTTGAGTTATTTGAGGGGCATCTCTGTGGGCTGAAGTGCATAACATGGTTGTCATGGAAAAGTGAATCAGATGGATTTTCACAAAGTTGAATGTCTTGTATGTAGAAAAATCAAAATTGTTTAAAGGACAAAAAAAACCAGTAAATATACAACTGTCTGCTGAGAAGTATTTCTTACTGAATTTTGTCACATCTTGACAGTAAGAACCATGTTATAGTACTGCAAGTCTTTGTGGTTTTCCCTTATCCACTTATTAATAAACTTTTTCTCCAAAATATGACATTGTTAGTACTCTTAAGAATCACTCATTCTTGCAAAAGTGGCACATTTGTTACTGTAGTTTGTGCTTTTAGAAGCTGTGGAAGAATCTGCTGCTGTAAGGAGAATGTGAATATTCAAAACATTAATGGTTTGACAACTAGGCCAAAAGTTTTCACCAGTGAAATTATCATCACTGTTTTGCATCTTGGAGAGAGATTTTGGACCATTATAGCATTGTAAAGAAATTTTAAGTGTCTTGGGAGACATTTATTTTGCTGTCTGTGATCAGCAAATTGTATTCAATTTGAATCATTCGAGTGTATTATTTCAGTCTAATATTTCCTTTATCTGCTGATACACTGTGGTTCTCAGGCAACAAGGACTAAAGGAATGCCTTGATTCCTTTTGAGGGAAACCATGAGATTACTTCTGGAAGAGTCTTTGCAAGATATCTTCTAGTAACTTACTAGTACAAAAAGCTTCTGGCTGACATGACGTTTTCTGTGACTTCTAAAAGAAAATATTGCAGTTCCTGGGCAGATTCCTCAGTTGTAGGTGATGCCTTGGAAGTCTTGGTCTAGAACTGCGATTCTCTATTTAGTCGTTTAGTGACAGCTCGGTTTCATACTTCGAGCACAGGAGATTGCAGATGGTGAAAGAGATTTTCCCTTGGGAGATGATAGCAAAATTTAGGTCATCGTGCCAGGTTGAATTCAAAAACGGCATCTGCTATGAGAATTCCTTGTTTGTCTTCATTAGCAAAGGAAAATGAGTTATTCTGCACATATTTATACAGACCACATAATCTGTGCTTCTTGTCCAGGTGATTACCGTGATTCTGATACAAGCCAGGATGCCATTGGCCTTTTTGGCCACCTGGGCACACTGCTGGCTTGTTCAACTAACACCCCCAGGTCTGTTTCTTCCGCAGTCTTTCAGCCACTGTGCCCCAAACCTGTAGCATTGCCTGGGGTTGTAGCTAAAGTGCAGGGCCCAGCACTTGATCTTGTTGAACTTCATCCCACTGGCCTCAAGCTCATTGATCCAGACTGTTTAGATCCCTCTGTAGGGCCTTCCTACCTCCAGGCAGATCAACACTTCCTTCCAACTTGATGTTGTCTGCAGATTTACTGTTTTACTGTGGATGCATTCAATCCCCTTGTCCAGGTCATCAGTAAAGATATTAAGCAGGATATTGATCTCAATATCAACCCTTGGGGAACACAACTTATGGTTTAACTCCATTCACCACCGTATTTATATACATGTACAGAACTTTAGTATGTGTGTATAGGAACACTTGAACTGTCCAGCGTCTGAAGAATATAGAGGGTAAACCTAGGAGAAGTTCTATTCTTTTTTTAGACGTGTACTGTTACCCGTGTTTTCTTATAGTGAGAAGCTTGCCTAGATAGCATAAGTAAGAAAACTTTCTTCAATAAGAAAACAGATCATTTTGCACTCTTACTAATGAATTTTAAAAAAACAACAAAGTAATATAATTCTGTATGTTGGCCTTTATAAAGTATGTATGTTGTCCTGTTTTTTTCCTAAGCTATACTTTTCAAAATAATATTCTGCCCTAAAATACAACATCTGTTCAGACAACTAACAATGTTGGCTGATGCCAGTAAGCTGTGATTAGGAAGGCTGGAAGGCTTTTTCTTAATACTGCCATCTGCTCTTCTTAGTGATGAGGTCATTCCTGTGAGATACCCTACATTTGCTTTTACAGTCGTACTTCTCTATCTAGTTGTTCTGCATGGTTATCAATGCAGTTATTTATGTTTATGACAAAAGGTGAAATCTGTGAGTTCATATCACTCAAGGATGCTTAAGATGCTGGTTCTTTGCACCTTTCGTGACAGCTGAGAACAAGTAACAGGCTTGCTCTGGAGCTCAGTAAGCAGCATTTATTCAGTTAAAAGTAAGAAGAATAGGTCCAGTAGTAACTGAGCACAATTATTTAAAAATGCTGCAGCAGCTTAAAGTTAATGCAAAGGCTTCTCTCCTACATGGGTTAGTGCATCTGGCCTTCCTTCTTGTTGTCGACAACTTTTTAAGTAAAAATCCTTTACCTCCCGGGCTATGAATTGTATAAAAGTGAATCAATTTATCTTGAAATCCTCAGTCTGTTCAGCACAGTGTTCCTCTTTTTTTTTGGTGACAATTCCTATAATGTTCTCATTCTTAATTTGAAGTGACTGAAAGTGAACTGATCCTGATTTATAAGCTAATGCAGAACTGAAACCTCTTAAACATGTAATATCTGCCTGAAGCCTTCCCAGTGTGTGACAGAATACTGCAGTGCCTCTTCAGTTACTGTTGCTTGTCTCAAGCAGAAACAGAGCTACTCGCTGTATGCATATAGAACTTTAAAATTTTTTGATCTATATTAGCTTCTTCAATAGGCTTTTTCTTCTGCCTGAGAGAAAAGTGTGTCTCATGCAAAATTCTGTTCAGAAATGCTACTCTTTACAAACGGAAGAGCAGAGATGCAGCTCCTGGGGTATGTCCTAGACAAGTTGAAGTTTATGTTGTAGGAGGCCTTTGCCAGTAGCTCTTTGAAAATGGGCTTAAATGTGACATCAGTGTTACTGTAAGCTTCTGCTCTGGTGAGTTCTGGTGCTCAAAGGTAGGAAACTCTTTCTGTGCAGTCTCACACTTTCTGGTATCTCTGCCTGATGAAGCTTTGAAGTGCTATGGTGAAACAAGGCAGAGCAGCCTGCCCTCCAGTGTGCAGTTGCATTCATTATTTCTAACTCTAGTTGCTAGTTCTTACAATTAAAAGTGCCTTTTAAGCCCTAAACGGATCCATAGCGATGGCCACGCACAGGAGGCAGTCAGAATTTTCATAGCTGGGGATGGAGGTGGAGGGACATGACACAAGTAATGAGCTGAGAATTGATGTTGGATGCTGTAACACCCTGCTTCTTTGGCCCCAGCCTTCTGAATGGTTCTGTGCCTAAATGCAGGCAATGAAGTTAGTTTTCATATATGTTAAGGACAAAATCAGTGTGTACAGTTACCCAGTGCCTGAAGCAAAAAACTTAGAATTTGCTATTCTTGGTATTTGACAGGAAAGTAGTAGAGGGATCAGATGTCCTTGTTACGTGGTAATTTTTCATTCCATCAATGTCTGGAATGTTGTTATAGAGATTTTTCTAAAATCTGCTTGTCTGGAAGCTAAATTTAAGAAAATGAAGGGCCCCAAAGACTTCTAAAATGTTGTGGGAAAGCAAGGCATCAAGATGTTATTTTAAAATACGAAGTCCTGCATTCAATTTACAGATATAGCATTACACTGTTTGTTTTTTCTTACTATCTCATCAGCCATTTCAGTTGCTCTCCTTTTCTGGACAGTCAGTTTCTGAGTGGTGTGTTGTGCTGTCAGCACTTTGTGTGCTAAGAATGATTGCTGAGGTAGTACTGATGTAGTACATCTCTGAAGGGGTTTGATTTGCAATGAATGTTATTGTTTTAGCTTCTTAATAGGTACAAAAAAGTAGTGCATTAAGTGTGTTTAACCTGTTTCACAGTACATTTCACATTGTTATCCATTGGGTAGAGCTTATTCAGAGTGCAGTTAGGTGCAACGTCATCAGTTGGTCAGATATTCTTTATTTTTCTATGTTTCTTTGGGAAAAGACAGTATCTATTTATAGTTTTCAACTGAGAGAGACTTAAAGAGAAACTTTCATAAAGATGTAGGCTTTTTGGCAAGTTGAGTGAGTGTGCTTTATTGTTGCAAAATGTAAAATGTGAGGGTAGTTAGCAGTTGAGATAACTTAGTTATCACCTGTCTTCCAATGCAGAAAATATTTGTCACACTTGCATTTGACAAACATTAATTAACAAGGAGTTTTTTGATTGTTTTGTGTGAGCAAAGGAGGTCAGTCTCTGTCATCTCCTATGAACAGATTCGTTGAAAGAGGGTAAGGGTTCTGTTGTCTGAAGTTGGTATTGTCCTTTGAAATCCATTGCATAAATTAGAGATGTTTGTAGTTCTTTTTTTTTTTAATCACTTTTCAAAATGAAATTATTGGAGATTGAAAACTAAACTTGAGAGCACTAAATTTGTCCTTTGTTTCATTGGATCTTTGGCTGTAGTGTGTGTATGGAAATGATTTATCAACTTCAGACTCCTGTATACTGTTTTTCCTATGTAGAAATGTGTGTCTATATAAAAATACGTATGTGTGCAAATGCATGCATATCTAATACATATCTTATGTACTTATGGTTTTCCTCATATGTGCTTTATCAAGTAAGCTAAACTTTATGGTAGACAAATGGGAGATGATTTGAAAATGTTTTAAAACAATGCATTAAACCTTACCAACTTGCAAATTAAGTATTGCCTTGTGTTATAGATCTTTAGAACATAATTACTTTGCTTATCAGCTTTACAGCTATGAATGAAAATGTTTTCTTTTTATCAGGATGAAAATAATACAGAGAATGCTGTGAGTTCTTCAGATGCTCAGAAACAGGATTCTCCACCACCAAAGCCTCCACGGACCCGCAGGTACTTAACTATCATAATACAGTATTTTAAGCTCTCAGATTAACTTGCTTTGTATATTAAGAAGTAGAGTCAAACTACTGATACTACAAAGACTTTAAGATGATGTTTTTTATTCTATTTATAAACATATATGTAATGAAAATAGAAGTCTTGTAATCAGCTCTGTAAACAGAAAGCTTTGATATCTTTGTAAAGTCTGTGTTTGAATTTATCAGTCTTGCAGTAATGAAATACAAGTAGACAAACACATAAGATTAGATGTATCTACTTGATCCACTGATTATAGCAGCAATAAATCACGATACTGCAAAAAATTAAAACAGCAAGATAAGCTAAAGGAGTGTTAGAACCCTCATTTTTGGAGGCGAAAGCATAGTGGAAAAGATTATCTGTTTATTGAATAAAACATTACCACACAAACAGGGACTGTTAATGACTAGGACACGTTAACTGAATAGTTTCACTTTGTAAGTGGAAAATTGGTCTCACCGGACCTTCCATTCAACAGAAGAAAAATAAAATCCACTCTAGTTTTTGAAGTACGTAGACTTTGAGAGAGTTAGATATTGTCTGTCCATTTGCTTTTACCTTTACCTAAAATGGTACCCAACCTGAGTATGAGCAAAGAAGCTCTTGTGTACCTAGCTAGTATCTGAAAGGATGTGGGGGCCTTTGACAGGTGGTCCTGCCTGTTTTCAGTTGTCTGTAGTTGGATGGACAGGAGTTTCTTCAGTGCCTTCAAAGCACTGGGGTTTCAAGATGGGGGTTTTGCATGACACAACAACCATCCACTTACTACATTCTATGCAAGAATGCTCATATAAGGAAACTAGTCAGCTTTAAGACTATGATCTAACTGGTGTAGTGCAAAGTCAGGTCAGTAGCAGGATTTTTTTCTTTCCAGCCCTGTATTTGGCAAGGGTCCAAGTAATGCCAGAAGATGAGTCTATTCTTTGAGGGGCTGACAAGATTAGATCAGTGATTGTATAATAAAACAAATTCTAAATTCGAAAGCAGGTTAGGTTTGGTAAAGGAGGAAAATTTTCAAATGTGTCTTACTAAAATATAATTGGACATAAGGAACCATTTGAATATTGGCAACTCAAAATGGGTAGCAGTGTGCATGTCCATTCAGTATTGCAGTGTCATCTTGTTCGAGGAATAAATGTAGGTATGGTAAGTATTGTACTCTAAAACCAACTAGTAGTTTAGAACAGATCTGGAATACTACATGGGATTCTAATGCTTACTTACCAAAGATATATGCAAACTACCACAAATGAATCTCTCTCTCAGCTTCTTTTGTTGTCTGAGAATGATGTTTGCAATAATGTAACATTGGAAATAGTAGTTGGTAATAATCATTAGTGATTAAATAAGAATGTTAGTAGTTATTACAGTTAACTCATTAATTCTTACTTGAAGCAGAAGTTAGAGAAGATGACATTGAAAGAGAGAGATGAAAAAAGAGTTGTAGCTTTCTACCAACAACAGTTTGTGCTGTGTAGATAACACCATTTAACCTTGTTTAGATCGAAGGTAATGTGATTATATCTAATTATGTAGATAAAGATTATAACAGTGAAGCCTTGTAATCTGTGTTAGTGGTGAGATCTTAACTCAGAGACTATTTATAGAAGATATGATTTCTATCCAGTAGGTAATTCCCTTACTAGTTAATGTTTCCTGAAATAATTTTAGGTCACTACTTGCCATTTTTCTATAGTCATGTAATAATCATGTATATAATTGATACTTAGGCATGCATCTGCTCTCTTATCTGCAGATCATTGTTCTTTACTGCACGGTTAAGTTAGTATCTTTTCATCTCTGTTATAAAACCTGGTCTTTTTTGGGCTTTCTTCCATAAACTAATACTTTCCTATCTGCCAACAATGGCAGGAAGGTTGGTTTCTTATAGGTGAATAGATGGAAGTGTTTAGCAAAGCTGCTGTCCTTTTAAAATGGAGATAATTTTTTTTGAAAAACCATTAACTGCATCCTTCATGGAAGAAGCTTCTGAGGAAACACTTTGTTTTCCAATGGTTGTGTGTACACAAAATACTTGTGTCTTATTTTCTTGATGTGGGAGATAATTTTACAATCTACAGTATGATACTGTCTGTGATGTTGGAGAGTTTTATGAATTATGAATGTTCTGGAATAGGTTAATACTTCTTTCTATGGTAAGGACATCAATGGAAGACCTGAATTTAATCTTAGTATGAAATATGTAACTGTTAAATGTGTGTTTCCATCCAGCTTGCATCTCAGGACTACATTTCATGATACAATGATGATTCTGACTCCTATTTGTTTCAACACACTTCAGCTTAATGATTGAATGAGGTCGTGGCATCTTTTCTGTGGCACTTTCCAATGACTAACCACTATAAATTGTAGAACTTTTCCCAGGAAGGTGTTTTTCTTGCCTCTCTTCTCTTTTATTACCCCCACATGTGGTATCTTACTGTACTTTTTACACAGGTTCTAGAATTGTATTGCCTTCTGACCTTTCATTTTATCACTCTGTAATGCTTTAGTGTAATTCATTTGCTACAAGACTTGTGAATATAGCTGGTTCCATTCACGGAATTTGCATTCAGTGTTAACATTTAAACAACAAAAAAGAGACTATTACTCCTTGATTATTACTGAGGTAAACAGGAACAATTCATGCTTTGAGAACGTACACCAGCACCTTATTCTAGAGACTGGTTGGCTTTGTAATTTGCAATTACTTGTGAAAATCACCTTGAAGCTTAAATCTGTGTTAAATATTGCTTGAAAAGCATTCTTTCCCTCTTAATGAGACTTGTATAACTATTTTCAGTTGAAGGTGGGAAGAGTGCATGACTAGATTTTGTCTTACGTTTACGACCGTAGGTAATCAAATTGCATATATATTTTATTTGCTATTTAAGACATATATTTTAGTTGAGCTTTTGCTTTAAGTCTACAGGAGATAATTGGTACATCAGAATTTGGAGAGATGATATGTTTAGCAAACAGTCTCTGAGATATTTGTGTGTTCAGTAGTTCATTTTAAAATATTTGGGAGAAAAAAAAAGGTTAATTCTAATCAGGTTGGCTGTAGAAAACTCTTGAATGTACACAGAAGATGACACAATTTGAAAGAAATTGAGAAACTGAGGCATAAACACCAGAGTTGTTAACTTTTTAGTGCTGCAGTGCACTGAAGACATACATGCTCTGAAGGAGAAAAAAGATAAAATATTATAGCTGCTTGACTTATCTTTCAATTGTGCTTGCAATTCTGTCTAATGACTAAATTTTGCTCCCCAAAAATCTCCAGTAGGTGACTTCCTTATTTATTTCTCATGCATCCTCTATACATTATCTGTAGTACAGTTGATGATAACCTCACCAAACTGCAGCTGTTCTCCCACATGGATAGCAGTGATTTAATGCTTAAGTTCTCTACTGCTGCCTGCTTATGCAAAGTTTAATTTTCCTGTTTCATTTATGAAGGAGGATGTAGAGCTTGGTATCTATTTTTAGTTGATCAGAGCCACGTTCCTTGACCTTGACATCACTCTCTTATCTGACAACAAAACCCTACATGATGCTTCACAAAATAGCCATGGATTGCTTGAAGTGTTTTTTTTCTTTTGACCACTGGCCAACTGTTATTTAAATCTGAACCTGCAGTGCCCTGCTTCTAATAATATAGCCCTAGGGCTAGAGGAGCCTCTAAAATGTTCTAAAAAATTAGAAAAATAGCATTCCTCTCAAGATTATTTGTTATAATGACATGTATGTAATCAAGTTGAAAACATGTTAAATCTTTGTATTAGCCACTGCAATTTTAAACAAAATCTAGTGTCAGAAAGTATTTTTCCTGTAATAAGACTTGCTACAAACTCCTTTATTTTTTTAATCAGTAATAGACTCTTGACTTCCAGAAGGAATAGACATATGCCTCAATTTTCTCATATTCTTTTAACTTCTTGCTTTAAAATGTTTTTTTAATATTTTGGAGGCAAGTGCCGCACTTTTTGAAACAGGCAGTGTGTTCAGCCATTCCTCTTACCCCCATTCGGTGCTTCAGTTACTTCAGCAAATAGCTGAATAGTCCTATGCTCATAAGCTTCTATCACAACTGTTCAAGTTCTGTTTCTTAAATAAGCCTTCGAGTGACTGTCTAGAAACATCCTCACAGTTCTCATATGCAGCTTCCCACCACTCAGTCCTTTGGCCAGGTGGTAGATGGAGATGGCACCTGGTTCATGGTTTACCTGGCAGCCGAGGGGTCAGTCACTGCGTTTGAAGTATTTGGCAAGCAGGACTTGGCAATAAGATGCTGTACTTGCTGTTCACATTGTGGCAGTAAAAACAGGTGAAAGAGCTGTCTTGATTACTGAAGGAAAATCCCCAGATTGTTACTTCTGTGGAATTGCAGAGGTGGTAGAATTACCAGGCAGTTGGTAACAGTTGCATGCAAACAGACATTGTCAAGGTTGGGTTATGAGGTTTTCTATTTTTTAGCGTGCTGATTTTACAACTGAACAGGAGAAATTCTTGCTTTAGCACTGTGTAAAAACAATGCAGGGTTAACTTGTATCTAATACAGGAAAAGTATTTTCGAATGGTCTGTCATTCTTCAGTTCACTGAATCTCTTCTGTCTCAATATCCACCCTCATGAGCTTTCCTGGAACTTTCAATCAAGCTATTTTTATTATACTGTCTTGTGTTTCCTGTTGTTGGAATAATGTTAGCAGTTGAGATAATTTTCTGCCTTTTGGGGGAGAAGTGTCTGTAGAGCACAGCTGTTGAAGGAAGTGCCCAAAGAAAGCATTATGCATCAGACCATAATGCCCAACATTGTCTGGCAAGACTTTCAGAAATAGCTTCTGCTTAGAGAAGAGCTTTTAAAGGTATACTTATCCCAATATTTCTGCTTTCCATAAAGAAACAAAAGCATTATTTTTAATGCAGAATGTGTGTAATAATAATCCAGTGATGTCAGTAAAGTGGAAAAAATCTTGCATGCTCAGAGAAAGCCAGGAAGTCCCTGGTGACATCTATTTCCTTTAAGAAAAAAACCTCCCAAATACCGGTCAGAGAATGAATATTCTTCAGTGTTAATATGATAAGGAATGGTTTTTTTAATGGAGCGTTTCCCATTTGATTACTCTATGCTCTCATTTATGTGTAAAATAATTAAATTTAATAAGTAACTTAAACAACTCTGTTAAGCAGTGTATGAGGAGGATGACTAAACAGGAGCGTGAATTTTGAGTTGCTGACTTGGATGGTACTGCTCTGTCATCTGTTCTATGCGTAACTTCAACAGGGCAGTTTGATACAAGAGAATCAAATGGAGAAGAGATTTCATTAAACTGTGGTCAGTGAAGATCTTAACGAATTCTGAGCAGTATTGTGAACCTGTGATTCTTATCATATCTGATTTAATACTAATCTGTTAGCTAATTGTAATGATTAATGGTATATCTCTGCCAGATTAGGATTTAGTTTCAGTGATTGTAAATGTAACAGTGGGTCAGGAAAATGAGGTCAGTGAGGGCAAACCTTGTTCAGCAGGAGGATTTAGTGGTGATTATTTTAAAGAGCTGTAGTTGGTAAAAGGGGAGCATGTAACCATTTCTGTGTGTGAACTCTCTTTTCTGGCATAGGAGGGGGAAAACTGAAGGGACACTTTCCTGTTGTCTTAGTGTGTATTAAGTTGGAGTAAGACTTTTTCTGTTCAACTTATCTTTACTAACTCAGACAAATAACTTATTCCCTAACTTGTTCATTTTTCAAGAACAGCAAGAGCAGAACAGTTCCCAAATGATCTTTGGGGAAGTTGTTTTTACGTGCTTTGTGTTGCTTCTATCTTAATGTAAAGTGAGATGGTAATATATATGTGGTCGCATGAAGAAGAGAAGCTATTTGAGGCCCAACCCTGTATGATCAGGCAGAGAATGGAAGAAAGTAACTGAGAGAGCTGCAGGGGTTGGGTTTGGGGGTTTCCAAATACAAAGATAGTAATTTCGGAGAGTTTGGAAGCTAGAGAGCTTGCAGCATTTCAGTGAATGGAGACATTGATAAATGAAAATCCAAACAATTTTCTCTTCAGTTTGGAATCCCTTGCATGAGGATTTTGGTTATCTATTCCATACTGCTATATCCTAAGAAAACCACAAGGATTAAATTCAAGCTATAGTCTACCCTGGATCAGGTAAACTTTCAGAATTTGAGAATATCTGAGTGGGGTAGCAGACTGCTGTTTTTTACATAGCTTCTGATAGTCTCAGCAATTTGCTCTGGTTAAATTCTTTTCAGACCTTATTTGCAATTTGGGGAGTTAATAGTATTGCTTTGATTTTTATTTGTGACATGTAGGCACACGATGATGAAAGCCTGCCCGATATCTTTCACTGTGTATAGGCTGTCAAGAATCATTGTGCAGTGCTGTGGTCTCTAGCCCCATTCAATATAACTCTTACAAGCAAGTCCACTGTGTTTTTATTCCACTGTAATAGAAGTGGTGTGTTTGATGCTTTTTAAGTGATAGACAAAAGAGGCATGTCCTTGGGCAAGAGGTAGAGTTCAGTTTTATAGCTGTTGGGGTTTTCTGATTGTCCTCTGTGCTTTCCAGTAACCTTTCTGAAAATGCAATTAGGATTTCTGAATCATTCCTGCTTCTGGTTTTGCTGGCAGACAAAGATAGACTGATGTATGTGAGCAGTGTGAGAAGAAACCTCACCATAAATTACTGGGTAATACTGTGCTGAAAGGATAATGAATGTAACTTGGTGCCTTGTGATTTCCACATAAGCCTTTTACCTTTTTAATGAATACCTTCTTAACAACCTTGGCTCAGGAGGTAAACATCCTTTGGCCCACGGTGCTGACACTAGTCTGCTTTCTTTCAAGTGAGGGGAAGAAAAAAAAAAAAGCTTTTTCAGTTTTCTGATTGCAACAAAAGGGAAGTGAAGACTTGTCTAAGAAACCTGAATGCCTTGATCAACAAGGCAAATGTAATTGTTAATAGCAGCCCTTTTCCTTGGTCTGGTCCATGTTTTGGCAGTACTGACAGTCTCTCTCTGTGCAAGTTACTGTCTGATTAAAAAACTTCAAAAAGATGCATCTTTTTCTTTTTTTTCTGATTGTCTTACATGACTGAGATAATCCAGTTGAGTTTTCTGAACTTCCTTGCAGTTGCTGAGACTTACTTATGTTAGACTCCAGACTTCAGTCAGAGCTCCCTTTATAGAAGATACTTAGGAAGAAGAGATCTAGTGTTAGAGCTATATGTTTCCTGGCAATTGAGTGGCAGCCTGTATTTGGATACCAGGCTTCACTTACAAACTCCAGAGGCTTGGTCTCTTTGTTAATTGATGGCACGTCATGAAATTTTTCTCTTCCACAAAATCTGTCCAGTCTCATCCTTCATCAGCGCGTTAGCACTGTATGATTGGCTGCTACTGAGAGGATGGCAGTTTCATGTCAATAGCCTGAATGCCCAAGGTCTGGGCAATATAATCTGCTGATCATCTGCTGGTCCTTACAGAGGGAGGTTTGTTACTGGCACACCTTCCAGGTCTGTTGGATGTGTTATGTTCTTTCAAGTTTTCCCCAATTGCAAATACTGTCAGACAGACAGGTCTGTCATCTAGTAAGCTAGTAAGAGCTTTTGCCTTTTTGAAGGCCTCTCCTCTTTGTCTTTAGCTTTGTTAATAGAAGTATATTTCACAGAAGTACTGTGATGGGTTTCTTTGAATGGGTTCAGTTCTACAAGGTATTGGAATACAAAAGGAAGCCTAAGGTCTAGCAGTAACCTTTCAAGAGAAAAGAATGTTCTGCGATAACCTTGTCTGCAAGAGAAGGTTCTAGGCCTCCTGCTGCAGACCTGGGTTTGGGTGATTTATGGTTATCCCAAAAAAAAACTAAGGTGTATGGGGTTTAACTGGTTGTGGCTTTACTCAAGGTTACCCTGATACTGGGACCACCTGAACCAGTCAGTAAAGACTCTGGGAACAGCCTGTCTAGCACAGGGGGCTGGGAGCATCTGTCTTCTACTTAGCACTGTCCTGGACTTTGTGCTGGCTTGTGACTCTGCACAAGTGTACTACTTTCTCATGAAGATGAATGTCTTTGCCAGCATTGGGCCAGTTCCTCAGTCTGAGCACGTGGCCAAATTGAAGGCCTTTGCAAACCTTAGTTCATCTTGTTTTGATTATATCTACCTGGATCGAAGCCGTTGTTTCTTTAAAGTACTTAACTGTTTTTTCTGTTCTTTTCCCTCATTTGCTTTGTACCTCAGTTGCTTTGCTTATATGATGAAAGGAAATATTTTTAAAGGCTCTGAAATGAAAATGATTCCTATTTGTAGAGATCTTAGTTGTGCAAAATATTTGATAGTAAATGTTCTGAATATAATGTGAAACTCAATTGACCGTATGCCTGTAGAGCTTCTCCTTTGAAAAAGCTGAAAATGAGCTGCAATAATTACCAATGATCTTGCTAATATGCACTATAATTTGAATGATACTCTACTGTGAATGTTTTTATAGTGCTTCCCTTATGTCAGTTAAACTTGATCTGCACTGCTAGCCTTACATCCATGGTGAAACAATTAAATACTTAAATATAGTGAAATCCTTCTGGATATATGAAGGAAAATAAACAAAGATGTTTGGTATTGGACAAGCTGTATTCCAGCTCATATAAGGTCTTAAGAATTTTTTCCTAGCTTTATTGAAAATTATATTCTGTATGCTGAATTCCTTTGAGCTACTTCTTAAAAAAGAAGAAAGCCAAGAGTACTGGAGTGCTGCCGCAAGAGGGCCTGGCAGACAGATCTCTGAAAGAATGCTTCTGGGAAAGGATGTGAGCAATCTTTAAAGCATCAGTGAGGATTAACTTTGGCCTGAATTTATACCCCTGTTATACTGAAAAACTTTTAATGTGTGTTGACCTAATTCTTGCCTGTTCCATTAGTCTTATTTTATAAATGTCACTTGTATGCAGTGGAAGTGCTTCTTGGAGTTCAGTATTGGTATCAAAGCATTACTATGGCAGAGACAGATAGATGGTTATCTAAAATGTTACCGAAGTACAGAAAACTTACATCATTGTTTCTTGCAGTTGCCTTGTAGAAGGAGATGCTAAAGAAGAAATATTGCAGCCTCCAGAGCCTCAGCCAGTACCACCTATCTTAACACCATCTCCTCCATCAGCCTATCCGACAGTCACTACAGTGTGGCAGGACAATGACAGATACCATCCAAAGCCAGTTTTGCACATGGTTTCATCAGAGCATTCAACAGACCTCAATGAGAATTATAATAAAACCACAGAACTTTCAGGAAAGAGTGAACCCAGTGAACGTATGGAGAAAAGGCTGGAGCGCAACTTGAGCTTTGAAATCAGGAAAGTACCTCTTCAGGAGGGCCCACGAAGCTTTGATGGGAACTCCCTGTTGAACAGGGGACATGCAATTAAAGTTAAGCCTGCACCATCCTCTGTAATTGATAAGAACTTGAAGTCACAGGAACAGATTTCAGGGGATTCATTTGTGGATGCTTCTAAAAACTCATGTATGGAATGCAGCGTGCCACAGTCTAACACAGCCTTAATACCTTCACCAGAAAGTCTGCAGGGCCAGCAGGTTTCTGATGCTCCACCAAGACCAGACCGTCTGCCTCTAACAGAAAAGGGACATGCCAGGTGGTCGCTGCACGGGCCTGAAAATGCACTGCGTACATCAGTGTCTGGAGACGTGTCTTCAGATGGCTTATGTCATGGGGTTAATACTCTCTGTCTAGTATCGAACACCACAGTTGAACTTCCTTCCAGTGATAAAGATGATCATACTGCTATTTCTCTTCGAGCACCCCTCTGTTTTACTAATCCTCTTCATTCAGATGATTCGGACACAGATGAAATGAACTTTGATGGAGCCATGAGCAGAAGTGCATCTAATATTTCAACCGCAAGTGCCACTGTTTCTGCTGCCACTACTACCGAAAACATTTCTGCCAGAAAAGTACTGCCAATGTCAATTGCTAGGCAAGACTTAGCTGCTGTAATGTGTTCTGAAGATGGCAAAGGTATGTGTTACTGTGTTTCAGAAGTGCTAGTCTTTATCCTGGTCACATCTGTAGAACGGGGCTGCTTTCTTTACAGTGCAGATTTTTAAATGTAGATTTAAATGGCATAGTGTGGCAGCTTTGCAAAGGATGTAACTCTTCAGTTTTTCACGAGAGCTGTGTCTGTTAGGTTATAGAACTACAGACCTCACTAACCTGCTTCAAAAGCATTATTGCATTGTTTATTGCTGGTTTCTGTGTTAGTGGTTGCCACGTTTTTTGCCTTGTGTTAGAATTTTACTTTTTGATTTTTTGCTGCTTTGGTTTTAGTGGAAGTATCTATAACAGTGCCAGCTTTGGGTAGCCGAAGTGTGGTGTAAGTGAAATTCCTATAGAAATTCATGCTTAGTGGGCGGTGTGCTAATCTTAAAAATGTAGGTGCAATTTCTTCCACTGTAGTCTTGGAAGTTGCTCCTTTTTGGCTGTTGTGTTTTCATAGCACTGTAAATAGTTAGCCCTACTTTCCTCCTCTTCTGTCTGGCCAGGAAGACACAGAGTAACAATCCTGTTCATGTGAAATTAATCCAAGTTCTGCTTCAATAATGATTTTAACCATTGAACTAAGCAATGCTTTGAAAATCTTACTGCTTTTTGGAAATTGTTTGAGCAAGGAAAGTTTGCCCAAAATGAGGCAGGAACGTTTCTGCCGATTGCCAGCACACTTCACTAAAGGTGAAAGGGTCCTAAAAAGTTCAGCTTTGGTTTTCAGTCAGGCTGGCACACTTAAATCACATGAAGGACGTAACTGGGAAGAAAATTAGGCCTCAGAAACTGGCGATGCAAAGTCCAAGAAAGGAAGTGCTAAGGCTGTGCAGCTGGAAGGTGACAGTGCTCTAGGTAGATGAGACATCTGTACTAGATAGTCCTTACAGTGATGCTCTTGCTTCAGAACTGTGTACACCTTGTGCCTTTTTCTCTGGCAAGAATGAGTTCAGTTGATGATGCATAGTGTGGCCAGCTGCTTCAAAGCTCGCATATTCAGAAAGGTGAATTATTTCCAACTTTAGAAACTCTATAGATTCTGTAATTGTTATTTACACACCAAACAATACAAGCATATAAATGTACCTGCAGTTCTTAACCCTGAGGCACATTAAAAGTGTTCTGTAGAGCAGAGAGGCAGAGAACTTTGTCATAGTTTCTTTAACATATAACTAAGCAGTCCTTCTCAAATAGCATGCAGGTCTTCCAAAACCAAGTTACTGTGGCAGTACTGACTTTTTTCCTTATTGCCCAAAGCAGACACTATTTATCACTGTTTGAACACTGTTGCTTCCATACATATCTCTTCATGTAGATGCTCTAAGAACACAACACGCAAATGTAAAATAAGATGTCAGAAATAGGATAAAGAATGGGGAGAAACATCACACAGCATCTTTTTCTGTGTAACTGCATCACACAGCATCTTTTTCTGTGTAACTGCATATGACAGTTAGTCTGAAGTAACAGTACAGCCTTGGTGCTGCTGGTATGTTGCTGAATTCACAGGAATGGCATAATTTTGTTTTATCAATTTTTACAGTGTGTTACTTGTTTTTCAGGTAAGTCTGTTCCTTTTTGTGTTACATGGAACTATTATTGAGCACTTCTCATTTTAGCTTAGGGTCACCTCTCGTATAAAAAGATTGACTTCAGAAATGTGTTCTTTAACTTAACTAAATGTCTTAACTAAATTTCATTTAGATGCTGATAATAGTGAAGACTCTTCTCCCCCACTCCCAGAAAGAACACCGGAATCATTTGTATTAGCGAGTGAACCAAGTGAGTTTTTTATGCTCTGTGATAGTTGTGGAGAAAGTGTGAAATCCTCTCAGTGTTATATTTGGATGCTGCTGCTTTTTGGTTAGTTTTCAGGTGTTAGAGCAAATTGTAAAATGGAATGAAATCTAGCATATTTAGTTGATTATTTTGAGCTTGCTTGATAACTTCCACAAGCACTTGAACGCAGTCAAATTACTTCTCAACTTCAGACCAAGTGTGCTATGATGTGGTACTTAAGTATGCTGAAGATGTCATTGTTGCTTTTAGTGGAGCTGGTTTTCAATCTGAACTGTATGGAAATAAGGTAGTTCTTCCATTTGGAGAATTCCCTTGATATTTTAAGTGGCATTGCTACTGCAGGTAAGGAACAGGAAAACACAGGATTTCCTTTACCCAGAATCAGATTAGCAGCAGAAAGTGGAAAGGAAAGAACAAAAGATAATGACATTCTATAATGCAGTGCCTGTGGTGAACAAGTCCTGTTATGCTAAATACAGTTTGCTATTTGCCTGAAGCTGCAAGAGAAAAATGATACTTATAAACTTGCTGATATCTTTGCTTTTCACTCATCAAACTAGCAGCTGCAGAGAATTAAAAAGATAAATGAAAATTAAGTTGCAAAATAGAATGATGTTTGGTATCTTACAAACAACCAAGGAGAAAAACATAAAAAGCCTGGGGTGGAGTAGTTTTTTACTCAGGTTTTGGTCTGTTATCACTGTGTGGAACTTCCACAACCATTTCTGAAGAAGGTAAAGCAGGTATTTTCAGCTTAAAAATATTAGTGCAGTAAGTGTGTAACAACATACAGTAAGTATAGCTGGTTGAGTCAAAGGGATCCTTTTGTTCAATATGTTGTGGTAGGAAAATACATAATTTTAGGACTTCTGTAAGAACACAAGAAATACATATCTCTTCAGGCCTGAAGCCACTAAAAGTACTTCAGTTTTGATTGTGTTTTTTCATTATTTCAGCAAAAGCTGATAATGGTGCCCTTTCTTGTGTGGGCTTTTTTCTGCTTACTGTGCCTTATTCAGATCTATAGTTGCTGAGCAAAATTTTAAAAACATTACTAAAAAATTCTTGCACTGGATAGGAACTCCTAAAGATACAAAGTGTAAATAGAAAATGAAGTCCTGTGTTTGGCTTCTGCTGTCGAGCCTTCCTGGAACTTGAAAACTCTTCATGAAGAGAGTTTCAGGTTGTATCAGCTTTTGATTAGAATAAGTTGCTTTATATCACATTTCTAATGCTGTGTTCTAATGCCTCATCACGAAGAGGATTTAAGTATGAAGATTTTCATGTAATTCTTCCTAGGCACACCCTTACCGAAGTCAGCTATGATTGCACAGCCTGAGTGGAGCATATTGCGTGATCAGCATCTCCCTGAGCAAACAATCTATACGGTAAGCAAAGGAGATGAGTCTGTACTAATTATTCATTTTTAGTTTCGTTTGGAGCTACAATGAAAAAGCAAAACACATACAAAAAAAACTAGGGCTGTTGAGCATCTGCAAGGCAGCTGATTGTTGCTTTGCCTTAACTGCTGAATTGATGTGTGAAGAGCGAGCTTCCAAGAAAACTGTTTTTCAAAGTCCAGCAATGTCATCATTTATATGCCTTAAACTGCACTTTCTAGAATGTAAGTAAACTGCTTTTACAGAGTTGCTCCTGCCCTTAATCAATCATAGCACAATTTGAGCTGGAAGGGAATTTCTGTTTCTAATTGGATTTCCTGCACAAAGTATGTGTCAGACCAGGGCTTTATCCAGTTGAGTCTTGAAAATTTCCAAAGACAGAGAGCTCATAAAATGTGGACAACCAGCTTCGTTGCCTGAAGATTTTATTGTATCTATATTTATTTTTAAGCCATCCTTCTCTAACCACTGAATTTCAGTATTCACATCAATTGACTAATTGCTCAAAGTCAGTCAGTGTAAACACTTGGTAAAAAGTTACAAATTTACACAAATTCTCTTTGCATTTCTGCCTTTTTCTACACCTCCCCCCAAGACGATTTACTGCTGCCTTTTCATGCTATTTAAAAGATTGCCAAAAAGGCAGATGAGAATTTCCAGGAACTTTAGTTTGAGAGAGAAACTATTCAAGTTTGCAAACAGTCTGTAATGTGATCCCTTCAAATTTTTATGGAATTTTAAGTGCAGTCCTGATAGTAAAGTGTTAATTAGCTACTGTAACATTTTGTTTGTGTTATAGCCAGTCTTTAGTGTAGGGATAAGCAGATATTCTCACAGACGTTGTATATTCCTTGAGGATATTTTCATCTTAAACTACTTTTGTCTTCAAACTAATGAAAGGCATTTAATAAAACTATTGTAAATATTTCTCGTTCACAGGGTTTGAAAACAACTTCACCTGTACTACCTGGTAAGTGATGGAAAAGGTTGTGGCCATTTTCATTGTTGTTTTTTTTTTTCAGTATGAAAAAGAATGCTTTTTCCACTTAGCAGTTTGTCTAGCAACCCTGTAAGAGGAGACAGTTCATGTAACTGTAACACTTGAACTGATAGAATGGATTGGGTGTATTTTTATTAGACGATCAGAAAATAACTTTTTTTTTTTTCTGGAAATGCAAATATTTCATGCTCTAACTTTGGAAAAGAAATGTGTTTTCTTTGCTTCAAAAGCCATTTCCAGCCCACAGTGCTTCTGTTTCCTCAGCACATCTCTAAAAATGATGGTAGGCCTGCAACAAATGGATCTCTCACTTCAAAATACATATTTCCTACCCCAAAAAATGTTTAGGCCTTGACTTGGCTCAGCGAGTATTTTAGGCATATTTTCAAAACGTTGGCATTTTTGAAAGGGCTGTCTGTTCCTTTAACTTACTACCTGCTTTCTCAGAAAACACTATAAGTCACATTGAAAACTTAATATGCTTTTGGTATGCTAAAATAATTAAGACCAAAATTACTGGACTTTCACCTTTCTTAAAATAAAAATATCTTTATTAGCTAAACTAAAACCTTCCTGTGTTATTGCAGTGGTAATTGTGGAAGCTTGTAAATTTATTTCACATTTACTAAACTGCAGAGTAGCAGGTGTGTGTCTGTGTATGCATTGCATAATTAGCAAAGCATTGCAGTTTTGATCTTCTGAAAAGGTTTCAGTAAGGAGAGCAGTCCATCAGCTGTTGTTCAGTGGTTCAGCAACCTGATCAAACAAACAGCTTCAGCTGTGATCTCGGTTGATCTGCCACACACCTTCTGTGCATGCTTGAATGGGCTGTTACAGTCCATTTGGGCATGTGGTAAATGCTTGATAGAGCTAATTTTAAACAGTGAAATAGTGTTCCAAAATATTACAGATTTGCTAATATGTGATTATATAAATAATGGAATACATAGTTACTTAATGTGTCCTTAAGCACCTTCCATTTAGAAATGACGTGGATAGATGAGTTTGTATTGATGTACTAAATGGTACATTGTGATCTCTGGGGGTTTTAGATATCCTTTCAAGCTTCCTTAAAAGGAAGTTTTGTATTTGGTAAGCAGGGATGTGTCACTGAAATTGCTGAGCATCTGCATGTGAACAATTTTGAAGTGTGTTTTTAAGAAAAATGTGCTGTTTAATCTTTATTTTTGTAAACAGTATTTGATGCGCTTAATGTTCCAAACTGAGCTGTAGTTAAAAATAGCACCAAGTGCTGCCTGAATGAGCGCTGCATTCAAGGAGTGTCTCTTTGTTTTCCAGGTCGTCCTGAAATAAGCAACAAAACACCAACAGATGTTTTACCTCAGATTTCTTTTTCTGGTTCCAGTGATCCAAGAGGTCAAATTTCAGATCTTCCCGCAGAAATAACAGATATTGGTAATTGCAGTTCATTCAAAGCTAACTGCTTGATATTTGAAACAGAACATTTCATTAACGGTGCTGGTTGTTTGGATAGCTGCTGCTACCTTCCTCCAATTTACCAGTGTGCAAAACCCAACCAAATAAGCTAGCCCTGTCTCATCAGTATCACTAACACTTTTACCCAGAATGAGAAATGTAGGTGTTCTTGGGCATTAATCACTTCTAAAGTTTTTTTAATGAGGGTTAGGTTGCGTTGGACTTGATGATCTTTAAGGTCTTTTCTAACCTGAGCAATTCTATGATTCTATGATACAACCTCTGGAGAGCATTGGAAGCTTTCAGAAATAACATTTGGAAAAACTGCTTTGGTACTCAGGAGGAAGAGTATCAGTAAATAATAACAAAGGTTGAAATACTGTATGTAGTGATACGTACCTTCCAAATGAGGTTTAAATAGTGCATACAGACACGGGCAATTTGTATATAATTGCATTTTCTATGGCTTTAGTACCTTTAGAGTTCTTGATACCAGAAAGCAGCCTTTTTAGCCCTGAGAATATAGCTGTTATGTAGGAGCAGGAGCACATCTTACAGTGGTCCTTCTGACTGCTGCCAACATTTGTGAGGTGGTGTTGTCTAAGTGCACAACAGAATTAAACATGTGTGTTTCTTTAGGTTTTGGTAACCGCTGCGGAAAGCCCAGAGGACCGAGAGAGCCACCTTCAGAATGGACATGATCCAATACTTATGGACATACTATCAATAAATTATACTGGAAAACTCAAGTGCCACTGAACTACAAAAATAGTATTCCACTCTTCTGGGGGGCAACTAACACAGAGCAGTGTAGATCTAACTACCAAATGGTACACCTTTACAGTACATCCCACGCAAAACCTTAAACGTTGTTCACAACAGTGGATTCCAGTATTACAACTTAACTTTTTGCTGGGGCCATCTACCTGCCTTATTACACTTAGGAGAAAGTATTACATATGATTTATTTTGTAACTTCAAGTATTATTGCCTTAATGTCTTTTAACCCTGTTACACGCTGCTTGTAGACATATGTTAATATAGTAATACTTTGGACAGATTGTGTTTATGGACTACTTTTTGCTAACGTTTGATTACTGTGTATGCATTATTTTGTATATGTACAGGGCAAGTAAGTATATAATTTGATAAAGTTGCAATCATAAAATATTAACAGAAGATGTAAGAAATCTCTGCATGATCTAAATTTTTGTGTACCTTATTTGTAAATTATTTGCCCTGAAGTTTTAGAAAATAGTTTCTGGGGTTTTTGTTTTTGTTTTTTTTTACAGAATTGCTGGACACACACAGCCAGAATTGCAGGTTAGCAGAGATAAAGATTGTAATACATTTTGTAAATTGTAAGCAAAAGGTTATTTTTATATTATATACTGTTTAATTGTCAGACCTGATTTGTTCTGGTTTTCATCTAGTCACAGAGATTCAGTAAGTGCCTTGGAACAATATTGAATTCTCTTAGCCTGTGTATGTTACTTCAGTGTTTTGAGTTCATCTGGAATTAGATGATTGAAAATATTTGTATGTTTCTAGTATATTTGACCTGCCAGTAAAAGAGAAACCATTCTACATCTTCAACACTCCTTAGTTTTCATTTTAATGTTTCATCAGTTGCAATTTGTAGGAAATTAATCTCTGTCAACTTTCAGTAGCATAGTTTTACAATTTGAATGTGGCGTGTTTCTAATTTGGGGAAAACCAGAACACACTGGTGAAAGGACTGTTAAATACCACTGTCTTCTCTCTCAATGGTAAGTACCATTTTTGTTGTTCAGAGACTCTGTATGTAAGAAAGCAACTTATATGAAGGTTCAAGTAGAGCCCTTGCAGCTACACTGTATCTTGGCAGTATGTTACATCGAGAGTTAATCCTTATAAGGATTCCTTACTTTAAACTTTTCTGTAATAGAATCTTTAAATTAAAGAAAGTAAAAATTGCAGTATGGGTGTTTTTACTCTTAGGAAAACAACTGTATTCAGAAGCAGTCTAAAACAGATGGAAGGGTGGCAGCCTGGCTTAACTTATAGCTTTTGTATGTGAATACAAATAGTGGTCCTCAAAACTTCATCTCTATTGATGACTTAAAGCTGTGGCTAGCAGTAATGCCTGACATGTTCAGAGTAAAAATGCTTATTTTATGTAGAGGAACTGTCTATTAAGCCATGGATTTTAGCCATGGAAATGTTGTGTCAAATTGTCTATTTGTACCTTTAGTGCCTCTCTACTAAAGGAGAACTAATGCCCAGGTCGCAGCCCTGCAAACCATTTCCAAAAGATACATAACCTGCAATAACTGTTTTGCACTGTGGAGAAATCCCTGTGTGTTTGGTACACACCACAGCCTGCCTGCCTGGGGAGTGCTTTCAGAGAACTGAATGTGCTTGAAATACTTCACCTTAGCTCCCCCTAGGTATGATTTTGCAATTACTTGTTTAACAAAAAATCACTCTCAGATGCCATTTGGGCTGGCCTGTATCAGTGGCTGCCTTGCTTTGTGGCAGCTGGCACAGCTGGACTGTTCTGTAGCCTGCAGAATGAAGGTGGCCCGAGCTCTGTGATGCTCCTTGCAGAGAAGATGAGCTTCACCTCCCTCTCACAGACTCCTGCAGTTCTGTGATGGGCTGTTGTTACCTCTGGGCAGTCCAAAGCATAGACTTCTTGAAGCAGCTGCTCCATAAGAAAACTTCCAAATATATGTTAGGTGTGTACTTTCAGGGTCATTTCTATTTTTCTGTATCAGGAATATATAAAACTATACAGATTGTGGATAATCGACTTCTAACATTTGACTCTGATTCAGAGTCATGGCTATCAGAAGTCGTGTGTACTGTGTAGAACTTCTAGGCTCATATTTTTCCCCTTAGATTTGCATGAGTTTTATGGTGTCCCAGACTGGTTTTGTTATAGCAAATCCTCAGCTTTGCTTTATTAGATATGAAACTGAAACCATCCTGCGCTGATTTTTTTTTTTTTTTTTTGTACTGATTTTTGCAGTCTTTGGCAGATCTGTTCTACAGCTCATGGTTGTGTGCTTACGTTCATCTGAATTTAATATTTTCCCTATTTCATTTCAGGAAAACTGAGAGCTTTAAGTGCAAGGCCAAAGCTGCCCATGTCGCTGTGTCACTGTAGGCAGTACAGAGATGAGCACAGTGCAACTTCAGACTGTTACTCAGTCTAACACAAAGAAAAGCATGTCAAAAACTTAGTCAGAGAAAGCAAGACCTTTCTTTGCTGTGGTTCAACTGAAATTGAGTCTGAGGGACTTAGGATACTATGTTACCATTCGCAAAAATTATCATTGGATCTGAACTAGACCAAATAATTAGACTGTGTATTGAAATCAGCCTCATACATTCTTTCCCATAGTAGTGTAGCTCCAGTTAGTTGTTTCTCCACCACCTCCCAAGGCTCTTTAGCCTTAGCCTTTCAAGTGCAGCATGAATCAGGCATGCAGTTGACTCAGTCATTGACGAAGCGCCGTGCACTGCTCAGCCCAGTTACATTTCTTACTGTCTGTTAAGAAAGCCTGCTGCATTTGCATGTCATTTTTCCTTAAAGAAGCTTCTCACTCAGACCTGTGCAAAACAAGAAGTCTGAAATGATCACCTTTGGGCTTCTGTGTATTGCCATCAGCGCTTTGTTTTCTTGGGAAGTGGGCTTTTATAAGGATGGATGCAGATGAAGGACAGTACCACAGGCAGGCTCCCAAACTCTGTGCTGCCACAATAGCTGCTTTTAGTCCTTAATTGTACTGCCTTGGAGCAGCGTTCTGCTGCTTTGTACAAGTGTTAGACTGTGCTCCAGGTGGTAGTTCCCTGTGGGCAGAAAACTGCATCACTTTCTGAGGGCAGTTCTCTTTGATTTAAACACATTGGGCAGCACATGACCATGGGCTTATCTAACTTCAGTTTGGGGACTATGTGCTCTCAGCTCCTGTGCGACGTTATGTACATCCAGGAAAAGGTGACAGGGACTTGAGCACCTCTGAGGGGCTGAGGGATCCACTGCACAGCCTGGGGAAGAGGAGGCTCAGCAGTACCTCATCCGTGACCCTAAATACTTGAATGGAGAGCACAAAGGGGCTAGAGCCGGGCTCTTGTCAGTGGTACCCAGTGCTGGGATACGAGGCAGTGGGCACAAATTGAAACACAGGAGATGCTGTCTGAACCCCAGGCAGCACTGCTGTGCTGTGCGGAGGGCTGAGCACTGGCGCAGCTGTCTGGAGGCTGTGGATCTCCTCCTTGAAGATGTCCAGAAGGTGCCTGGCTGTGGCCCTGTGCACCCTGCTCTGGGTGAGAATTCAGAAAAAGGGATAAGGCTTTCAGGGGAGTGAGGAGGCATCTGAAACCACAGTGATTTAGAAACTGGTACCAAAGAGTCTGAGAAGGGAGCCAGGCTGACCGTAATCCAAAATGAAATTTCAGGAGACAGAGTGAAGAAAGCATGGAGGTGAAAATGAAAACAAATACTAAATGTTTTGAGAGGCAAAAAGCTCAAGCATTACATATACACACCCCCATGGGCACTGAAGTGTCTCTGAAGCTCTGCTGGGGCTGTATCCATTAAGGTACGTATGTAGAAGCAGTGGGCCTCTCAAATGTTTATTGTAATCTTCAGTGACATCATGCTAGCAATGTGTGGATGTGGATGTGTGTTCATTGCAGCCATTAGCTCTCCTGATGCTTGTGAAACAGGAGAATGGCATTAACCCAGTTATCTGCCTGGAATGAAGAGTAATGTGGATGATGCTGGTGTACGCAAGCTCAACAGCAAGGGGATTTACTATCTAAGAACTTCTAGAAGTGCAAACCATTTTACAGTAGTCTAAGTAGATGAAGCGTGAGTTGAAGCTTTCTTCTGAGCCATATATAGAATTCATTTCCCTCTGTCACAGGGTTTGCAGGGCACCATAGGTCTTCTGAAAGTCACATGCTGAGCATTGCCAGGGTCCTGCTTTTTTAGCACAGTTGTAATTCAGTCTAAAAGCCTTTGAAGCTGCATGGGATTCCATGCTGCTGCTATAGGTGTGCTGTGATGGGATGCTGCAGGCAAAGGGCCTTTCACACGGCGTCGCTGCCGTGCCCCAGACGCCACCTGAGGATGGAAATGAGTCCAGGGAGGGCTTTGCTGCGTGGGCTGAAAGCTGGGCTAAGTGCAAGGAGCGTGTGAAATTAGGGCACAGTGTGGCTTGGGCAAGCCAGTGCAGTGCCCTCCTGAAGCCTCAATGTGTTCTGGGCCTGTTAGGTAGCACGAGGCCTGCACAGGGATAGAAACAATCCTCAGCAGCAGCCAGTGGATGCCAGGCTCTTTTGATGTGAGTTTTTCTGACCTTTTCAACGCAAGCACTTGATCAAAAGGTGCATTTGTGTGTTGGGCTGTTAGTAAAGCTAGAATTCCCCACTTGCCCTGAGGCAATGCTGTGCTGTCCCCAGTCACCCTCCAGCTCTGAATCAAACACTGAACTTCCACTGTCCTGAAGGCAAAGCTCAGAGCTCTCTTGATGCTGATCATGAATGAAGAAAGTCTCATTGGCCTGGTGCTCCCATCCAGCAATGGGAACTCCTGGAGGGCTGGTGTCCCTGCGGGGCTTAGCTGGGAACAGGTCTCGATTTGTTATGCAGCTGTATATCTTGGCTCTCTCCTCCACAGACCACTGCAACATAGTGCGTCCCTATGAAGTACTCACTGTGGTGAGTGACACCAAGCCAAAAAATCTGGTTTTGCGTT